TTTCACTCTGCTAAATATGCATAATTTATGTGCCGGTGAGTGGTGGGAAAAAGGAGCCACGTCATGGTCATAATAAAATTTACTAGCCATTACTCGGTCTCTTTCTGCCCTTTCCCCTTTTCAAGTGGCAATTCTCTGGCCATCGTTTTGCCCATCGTTCTGCCATCTTCTTCGTCCTGCCACTTTTCTTTTGGCTGGCAATTTGTGTGGACCAATTACTTTGTTTGTTTGCCGTTCGCCGTGCGACAATTGCCAAGGACAACTGCGACTTTTGCTACTGGGGCAATGGCTGCATTGCTGCGTTTCCTCTATTTCCGTAGCAAACATTTCCGTTTCGCATTGCTGCAAATTTATTGTTTCCTTGCGGTTTGCGTGTGTGTGTGTGTGTGTGGCTGTACGAGTGGGTGTCCTTTTTGCGTGTCTCTTCTTTTGAAGCACACTTGCAGGGACACTTTGTGCGCTGCTTGAGCCTGATGGCGCTCCATGGCACCTTTGAAAAAGGAGGGATCCTCTGAGATCTAGACAAGGGCTCGAGCTCAATCAAACAGCAAAATGGCGGTAAAGCGGAAATGCCGTCCCTACATCCGTCATTCACCCAACCAAGCCCACGCACAAACGTTGTTGGGCTCTTCCGGCCGGAAATACGCATTTAGTTGCATGTGAAATTGCTACATTTTTTGTCAACAGGCAAATTTATATTTATTTGTACGCGTTTCTTATTCCGCAAGGCGGAACTGAGACTTGGCGATGAAAAATTGAAATGTCGTTTCTAATAAATCATTTCGGCAAAGGCGCGCAGCGACTTGTTTGTTTTCGGTTCTACGTTCTCCGCCACTGCCGCCGCCGTCGCCTTCGCTGTCGCCAACTGTTTGTGCTTATTTCCGTTTCCGTTTGCCCCACGACCCTGGCTTCATTTTTATATTATTTTCGCCCTCCTTGGCCAAGGCTTACCTTACCGGATATTTTCAGCGCCGTCATTGCAGTCGACATAATTAATTACCAGGGCGCGCGAGCTTTTCCCAACGGCCTCCTGTGTGCCTCACCTGAGGCGGCGGCAATGGCGATGGCGGCATTTGGAAAACAGGAAGCGGCCTGTCCTTGTCCCCAGATTTGCTGACAGGCAGAGGAGCCAAATAGAGCCTGGCAGCAACTTGGAACAATTATAATTGGATCGCTTTAATTATATGAATTTATGAGTGGCGACTGTGTTTTGCCCCTGGGTAATCCTTACACACACAGACAGTACGATAAATCTTTTGGTCGGCATCAAGTTTTGGCCAAAAGATTTCCATTTAAATGACAGCAGAGAAAGAGAAAGTCTCCTTTTGGCTTTTGTATCAAATTAGAATGCATGAATAATGGCCAGACAATATGGCTTGCGAGTCATATGCACAGGTGACCCCAAATGGAATACTAAATGAATTCATTTTGCCGGTTGACAGACTTTCTAGTTAATAATCCCCCTTGGACTCTATCACCTCAGAAAATACTCTCAATTTACTGAGCATTTATCTTTGGACTGAGCTTAAATCTCAATCGACTCACAAGACGGATGGAACTTTTATCGTAAATTTGCTGCTGCTGCTGCTTCTGGGAACAACACTTTTCAATTAGGAGGTGCCACCAAAGCTGAATCGCCCATTATCGCAATGCAATTCAATTAGACGCCGCTAGGCGGCAGGTTTCGCATGGGCATGAGGATGAGGTATGGGGTTAGGGGGGCATTAGGAATCGGGACAAAGGATCCCGACCAGCGGGTGTGTGTGCCCTCGGAGAATGCGAATCTTGCCAGCACATTTGACAGCATGAAATTGAGTGAGCTGCAGTTCCTAGACACACAATGCCTCCTCCTGCATCTCCTCCTTTGCCCTCTGGTACCACGTAACGTCTCATTTCGGGCCTTCCAATCCAATCGAAGGGGCAGCACGGGATGTAACAGCAAGGCCGATCTAGAGCAGGATTTGTGTGTGCCGGAATATACGAGTATATATCGTGGGAGCAGTAGTACCAGTAGTACGGGTAGCAGTGGCACCCTTCGCATGAGTTATCATTTCAGGCACATTGATTTATGCAGTCGCCGGGAAAGCAACCTGCATGGCTGCTGCTGAGATAAGAATTAATTGGCAAGTGCACTGTGCAAATAAATTGCATAGCCATCCGGGTGTGGGTTTCGGGATCGGGAACTGTTCTGGTTTGGTTTGGTCTGGTTTCTGCTACTGCTTCTGCTGCTGCAGCACTGGTGGGCAAATGCAAACACACATAAAGCAGGTCCCCGGATTGCTGCCGCTTTTAATGCAAATGTGACAAATGTTTTACGGCTGGCTGCGTATGCATTGACTCTGGGCAAACACCTGTAAATGGATTGAAGCCACAGCAGGTGGCCAGGAGCGGAGGTTGCTGGCAAGGGAATAGATTCATTTCACACCACGTTACCACTTCTTAATGTGAAATCATAAATCTGTGACTCATCACTGATTAGCCTTGGCATAAAAAAGGTCTTAAGAGGGTTCAATAACTAGGTAATTCTTTGATTAAAAATGTTTCCAAGCCAAATATTTTAAGAAGCAAGCTTACAGTATAAGAGGAAATACTATATTAAATTCAATCTCAAATTTCGGAGAGAAATTAAATCTACTTTTATCACAATTTTTGACTAAAACATGCAAATAAATGAAGTGCAAAAACATAGAATTATTTTCCAGACTTATACAAAAAAACAACGCAATTTTAATCAAATAATATTTTGAAATTATCTACAGATTGGCATCGAAAACACGCAGAAAACTAAACGAAAATAAATCAGAATAAATCAACATTTTTAAAAATAAAATAAAATGGCATAATTTTAAAAGAAAAACAGTGGCATTTCCAATAGCAAAAATGTATTTTAGTTAGAAATTTCCGGCAGATGAACCTGGAATCCGCTCCTGCACCAAACCCCGTATATCTGTTGCAACTGCAATTGCAACGGACCCTCAGCCATTCTTTGTTTGCATCCTGTGTAGGCTTTAACCGGCGCTGGCCTTGGTGCCACATTCGCATTCGCAGGGCAGGACCAAACTGTGCGGCAGCACTTGCAATTGCATTTTTGCCCATATTTGGGATTTGCATTGCCACATTAACCCTGGTGTTCGTCCGTGTGTTCGGTTAAATTTGCAGCTAGGAGAGAACATAAATTGAAGGGCAACTGAACAACATTTGCAGACGATCAATATTATTGCGCCTGCGGTGGGGCAATCAACGAAATGGAGAGTCCCTTAACAATGACTCCACATAAAGGAAGTGGATATGGATGTGGATGTGGATATTGATGTTCGGGGCGTCATGTGTCCCCAGAGATTGGGTTGTGCTCTCTATTAGCCACATCGATGATGCTGGTGGTCTATTGATTTCCCAGCTGATTGTGTTCTCTGCCTTAAACTATATTTATTACATACTTATCGAGCACCTTCCCAGAGGGACAGCAGTTAAAGCCATTCGCCGAGTATTTCTCAAGGATATTATCAGCTGTGTTTCAGTTGCCAATCGGTTAATTACTTTTCCCCTGTCTGTGTCAGCAAGATGCGATTCCTGCCAATGTCGACATTGCCCCATCCTGTGGGTCCTTTCGGTCTCTGGTACGCAATAAATTAGAAGTCGCTTTCATTGATTTCTGCTGAGAGCAGCAAGTAAACATTTAATTAAATTTACTCATCCCCCAACCGCTAAACACTTTTATATCAGCGGCAATTAAAATTGCGTATACGTGATGTTGTCTGCCATCGCCCATGGGCATTGATTAATGGCCGGCAGAGCAAAGCAAAAAAAAAAATAAAAACCAAAGAATATGCAAATTGAAGATTTATTAAAGCCCGGACCAGAAGATGGGTTCGTGATCCTATCCCGGGCGTTAACAGTTGACAGTAATTTCCTGCATCTGGACGCGCTCAAAACGAAATGCAATTTCCGATGGAGAGCACGGCTTTTTCCTTTCTTTTTTCATTTTTTTTTTTTGGCGCCCAGCTGCATGTGTCATTATTCTTATGCCGTGTACCTGGGCAATGCTTTATGACGGCAAGGACAAAGGCTTAAACCTGTAAACGAGGCTGAGAGCCGGTTAGAGCAGCAAGCAACCAGGCAGCCGGGTAACCCGCACGGAGCAGAGCAGCTGCTACCATCATGGTAAAAAATAACCCCACATAAGGGAATGTGACAAAGTAAAAGGGCCAGATCAAAGGCGGGGATGCTGACCTCCAGTTTCCACCAGACAGAAGACAGAAGAGCAAAGGCGGCATAAAAGAGAGTAATGGCCAAGGATAATGCGTGGCATTGCGGGAGTGTGGGAACTAAAAGGATTTGCCCCATGTGCCGCAAACTAGAGCTCATCATCATTTAATATGCTCAAATGAGCAATAATTGCAATGAACAGCAATGCCAGCAGAGGAGGCATTATTTGCAATTCACTAATCCCATAAGTAGAATGAAACAATGAGCTGCCAGTGGAAATGTTCTAAATATATAATGTCGCAAAACAAAGCCAATTGAGTGGCATTAACTCAAACCAAAAGTTTCATCTATTGAAGCCTGGATTATTAACAATTGAGTGGGTTTTTGTGGAAGGAAACTTGCAGTTTAAAATAGTTTCACTCAAATGCCTTTGGTCATTGTCTTATTAAATTTAGAGAAAATATAGAAAGAGAAAATATCTCAAGTGTTATAAATAGAATTTAAATATTGCATTAAGCTCCTTTATTATTAGAAACAAAAACCATTTCACAAAAAGAAAGAAACTTTTACCAAATTACCTTTGTTATCAACCTGTTGCCTGTCTTATCAGTGTTCTGAACAAGCCAATCGGTCAAAAAACACCCACATCAGTAATATAATGATACTTTTTACTTTATTTACAAATCGAACAACTTGTGAGTCAAATGGCGCAGTATGACTACCCAATAAATTAAATAAGATTCGAGGTTGGGGGGTAGACATGACCGGCCAGTGTTGCTTGATTATTGAAATAGCTTGTTCATATACATATGCAGCTGGATCAGTAGAAGGCCTCGCATTGCATCTGGCGGCGCCATTGCGTCCAATCTGTACAGCCGACCACCTCGGAACTGGCCACGAATCCTTTGCCAGTGGCACAGTTAAGCAACAGAGGTGTGGCATTTATCCCGGGGCACAAGTAGAATTGATTGGGATCCGGAGAGGCCCATGGCGATGGCACGGTAGCCGTATCCCTGTCACAGCCAGCTGACAACTGGGTGGTCACCTGCTCCTCCGAGGGCCGGCAGGCTGGCCATTGGGCGTACGGCACACAGCCGAGATAACCGAGACCGCTGAAAAATCCCCGACCTGGCGGACACTCCAGCTGCAGCGGTTGTCCGACATCAGAGCATACGTAGAATATGTTGGGGTCCGGATCTCCCCACATGTCGGTGGCATGTCTGCATGTTGCATTCGTGGTTGTGTCAGAGGTGAAGGCCTCACCCTGCAGCAGCATCAGGACCAGCATCCAGAGGGAAATACTCCATTTATTTTTCATAAATAATTTCATCACGAACTGCTGCCAGCGGAGCATTTATTATTATGACACACACAAACTTCGTTCGCTCACTGTCCAATTGTCTGATTTTTACTTTTTTCGTATCGCTATGAAAATTCTGCTATTTTTCCGCGCTTCTCATCATTTGGCCATAAGCTGAATTCGTTAATAAATTTATGTGCTGCTGCTTCCTGCTGAAAAACTCGACTCGACTCGACTGATTGATGTCGTCGCCATTGTCTTTCGTTTTTATACTCATGCAATGAGCATGACTTTCCATGTCCCCCAACAAAACCTTATCGTCGCTATTTTTACAGTCATTTTTCATCGGGTTTTTCGGGCATTTTTATTTTGGACTAAAGTGACGTCGTCGTCGGAGAGCGACTTCGATCTCTTCTAGCAATTTGTTGATTAGATAACTCATTCGGGTTTAAAGTTTTCTACTCTCGATTGATAAGTTCTGAAATTAATAGCACGCGAGAAGATTTCAATCAGCCGTTAGCCAAAAATTTCCTACTCTCATCGTTCGATTGTCGTTCGTAAGAATTTCCCTTTTGCAAACTTCGTTAAATGATTCACAATGCCATGAAAATCACAACACACTAAATTTTGGACTACCGGATAGACACACACACATATCATGACCTTATCTAAGCGATAGCACATACATTAATTGCCTTTCAAATGAAGCCAAATTGGAAATTATTGCTGGAGAAATCAGTTGAAAATTTAATTACGCTTTACTGCTGCGATAATGGAGCTACCCAGAGCGGGTTCACTGGGTTCAGTTGCAGGCACAGATGCTGTCAAAAGTTCTAATTGATTTGGCTTAGAGCGCCTAAAATGAAGAAGCTCAGCTGCCGCCGGGAAAGAAGTCACTTTGCGGCCAGGACACGGAGGCCATAACCTGCTCGCAAAGGAGAAAAAAAAAAAAAACTGAAAAAGTTTTCGTTGTTGAGTCACGTTGTCAATTCAAGTTCCTTACTTTCTTCCACTCTCTCCACTTTTTGCACTCTATTTACGCGAGTCCCAAGTTTAAATAGGCAAACTTCGTGGAGCGCTGGCAAAGTTGACAATATAATCGACATAAATTCCAATAGGCTTGCTATCGATGTTGTCTTCTGCTGGCAGGGAATTCAATTAAAAGTTTCCCAGACGTGAGCACCAGGTGACACTGAGAGCCCAACATTTGGCACCCCGAAATCAGAGTTACTTCGATTCGTGGAAGTGCTCATCACCTCAGCCACTTGAGACGTGCTATCTCCTAGAAGGCAGAGTAGCAAATTAAGCCAAGAATTTGCCATTATCTGCATAGGGAAAACATCCGATAAGCAATATTTTGGACAAGACCAGAAGCCAAAACAGGCCTCGAACTACATTCATCATCAACGGAGGTGTCAACAAGTCATTGGCAATGGCAATGATATGGTGGCGCTTTCAAGAGTCCCGATAAGTTGCCCGATCGGATAGAATGTTATAAAAGCCAAGTCTGTTGGCCTAGTCTGTTTAGTATGTCTTAAATTTTTGAATTGTAAAGAAGTTTTTAAAGGATTCACCATGCTGAAAGGTATACAAGTTAAATATTAATCTTAATTAATGTGCATCCGGTTATTGAGTGTAGAAAGTGAAATGTGTGTGTTAAAGACAGGAAATGTGTTTTCGATATCGACTGCTACGTTATTATTGCCTTCAGTGACTCCATAATTAAAATATTTTAATATTAAGATAAAAGCAAGGAAGGATCCTTATATGTGCTGTGTTAGGGAAAATAATATTATGTTATTAAAGTGTAGACCACGTGGAAAATGTAATTATTATAAAAAAAATATTTATTGCCGATATAAGGTGGATCCTTGTACCCATTCTGTAAAACTATAAAGTCTTATTGCTTTCATAAATTATACACCGAAATTCCTTAAAAAATCTTAATTAAAATCAATTGTTTTTTGGTTAATGTCTTACTATTTTTATAGCCCTCTTGATTTTCTTTGGCCTCCTGGCTTTGACTTCCGCCGCATCCGTGGGTACTGCCAGTAATGTCACCGAAGTTTGCCAGTCGGAGGATGAGTTGTGGGGCGGCGAGGACATACGTAAGTTCTACTTCTGCCTGAATGACAAGGTGATCGCCGATGAATGCGACTCAGGCTACTATTTCGTGAACAATGCCACCATCTGTGGATGTCTACCTGCCGCCCAGATGAACCCCAGCTGCGTGAACCTGGACGCCGCAAAGCCAGACTGCACCGGAATCAGCAAGACGCAGCCCCAGCCCTCCGCTGATGTGGCTAGCTTCTATCTGTGCGCCAACGACACAGCCACGGAGTTGGCGTGTCCCGATGGCAAGGCCTTTGTCAATCAGGATGGGTATCTCGGATGCTTCGTGTGGACCCAGTGGCGCTCATTGCGCAACTGCACCGACGGTTGATGATATCTCCGACGTTTTAATTATAGTTCTTCCAGCGCTAGCTCTATCCACTTGTCGCGATTAAAAGTGTCCGAATTGAAATGTTATTAAGTTTAAATTGATTGGAAAATAATTGATATATGAGCGGCGGTCGAGTGGGGGATGATATGATAAGCGGGTGAGACATATTGAAAGTAACATTAAATTGCTGCGACATTTCCGGGGGCAACAACGGGAAAAAAATCTATGTGCCATAAATCGTGACTCTTCCCTCAAAGCAAAATTACACGGCAGTGGGGCAACATTTCCAAGAAAATTCCAATCACATGCGTGTGTGAGATTGGGATTGTGAGTTTGTGCTGCTTTCTGCTTCCTGCAACACCGCAAAACAATTGTCGCCGCAAACTTTGGCGCAAAACAAACAAACAACGACGACGAGCTTGGGAAAAGGGACAAATTACAGGGGCCAGCGAAAGGAGCAAGGACCAAGTGCAGGACATGCTCCTGGTGTGCCAAACACATGTTCGTCTGGCTTCTGCTCTTCGGTGGCAGTTCTCGCAGGGCTAAAAATGAGTTTAAAGTTCGATGCTGAACCGCATTAATCTTGTGCTGGTGCCGTTGCTTTTGCTATTGCTGGTGTGTGCGAAGTGGTGCAACATGAAACCTGAAGTTGCCAATGATTGCATCAGCTGCCCCAAAGGGAGTCACGTGGCAAACGGCTGCTGAGATCTACTGGGTATCCAAGTGATCCATACAACTACTGACTGTTTTATGTGTGTGTTTTTTGTTGTTGTGGGGGGTTCCACCAACAGAATTTCCAGCTCTTTGATCATTCGCAGCGATTGCACATCCGACTAGGTAATAAATGTCCGACTGGGCGGGCAGCGTGGGCCAAGTGTCAGTGACACGGAACTGCAGTCCGCAGTCTGTGGTCCCCATCCTGATGTTCATCCACCCCAAATGAGTTAGTCAGGAAATTGCATTATTTGTCTTTGGCCGTTGCGGGCAAAAACCGTACAATGCTGGTGAGCGAAAAGAGGAGCAGGATCCACTGTGTGTGTGTATGTGTGTCTGTATGCGGACAATACTGTGCCGCATCCTCAACCTCCCATGTGGCACTAACTAGTGTGGATACCACACCCCCCGGCACTCTGGCACCCTGCCTCACTTCATCCGCTGCTCGTTTTGCTGCCTCGCCAGCCACTTTAAAATGGCGTGGCTATCTCCGGAGCTCGGCCGTCACACATGTGAGTTTTCAAACGCTCTAAAGTCACAGCAATCTTTCTGCTCCATTTCCGCCCACTCTTGCAGCTGTTGCTGCCACTAGATACTAGAATCATGCCACTGCTGCAGCTCCTTCCGATCCTTATGCCAGTGCCCTTGTTGTTGCATTTTAATTGCATGGATGCCTGGGCCGTTCGGGCCATTAATCCTGCACAAGTTTTGTGCAAAAATTGCGAAAAGGGATTTTTAAAGTCACAACTGTCGTATGTTATCAGCACACCCTAAGAGAGTACTTCTAACGCAATAGGGTCTACTACACTCAGGGAAAATCAAGTGACTACCTCATGAAATAAGATAATAATTACAAACATAACTTCCATCGATTCGATATTTTTCCGAGAATTTTCCAAGATATTACCATACTTCTGGTATTATAAACTGATTGAAAACTAAACTAAACTAATGAACTAAATTTATATACTTAATAGCATTTTTTCCAAGTGCTTTTAGGGTACTGACTTATAGAGGGGCTTCCATAGTTTTCCAGCTAAAAACTTGGGCCTGTAGTTAAATGTCCAAGTCTGCGGACGCAGTGCCGCAGCGGTGCTTGAATTTAATTGAGTTTGCAATTGTTGTGCGGCCGCTCTGCTCCGTTCCTCAACTCTAGGCAGTGGCCCCAAGTGCCGGCAGTCGGCAGCCTGCAGCCTGTGAACTCTGACCCCTGGCTGACGTGTTGTTACTTTAATTAAGTTTGGCGCGCTGGTCGGCATAAATAAAGACGGCAACAGAGCGCATACGCAATGCGCTAGACGTTCATTTTGAGTTTTTGCTTCGTCTTTCATCCATTCAGTGGAAATTGTACAAAGCATTTTCTGTCCATTGGGCATAATTGGCATTTTTAGAGTTGCAGGCCTTCGTGGTGACAGTCGGTAAAGACCCTGCCTCCTCCCCAATTTGCAACCCCCCTTCTGCGGCTTCCGTTGAATGATTTTTCAGTGCGCGCATTTTCGCGCTTGAATTGTTGGCGTTTCGGCGAACAGAAATTGGTGGAAGGTTGCGAGGTTGTGAGGGTACGTGGGGACGAGGTTCCGGGCTGGAAAAGTTGGCTTAAACTTTTCCACTTGAATGGCAGCGGAAGGTTTTATGCGCCTCGCTTCCACTGTGCCACTGCCAGTTGCACAGGGAGTTGGGTGCTAGGATACTGGGGTGCTGGTGACTTGTGCCACATTGTGCTGCTCCTGCAGCGGCGCATGAAAGTATGCAGCATAAAATTTGTGCTCGGCAACAAATAAATATTTGACCCCAGCTCCCAGCAGGGTGCAAAAGCATTCCGCTCTCTTTCCACTGCCCCTCTTTTCGTTGCCGTTGAATTTATATTTGCACTTAACAACCGAGTGGCAACAACAACAACAACAACAAGAAGGGGAACAGGAGACGACAACGACTACAATGGCAACCACAACTCCAAGTTCCAGCCAACAACCTCCAATTCCAACCCAAACCCACCGCAGCACCACTTTCTAGAGAGGGAAAAGTTTGTGTGGCTTATTTTTCGGTTACAAATCAAATCCAAAATCGCATTAAAATTGCATGCAGCGGAAAAATTGTGCACCCAACAGAGGGCAAAAAGGATGTGAAAGGAGCCCAAATAACCGCGTAACCAGAAGCCTTGCCACAATAAGGACCTGCAAGGAACCGCGAGGTTGGAGAGGAGAGGTGATTGTGATTTGTAGGGTGGTGACGAAGTGGTTCGACAACAGCTTGTTGTTGTGCAAGACATTTGCTGCGGTGCTAGTGCTCGATTGTTGCCTCTCCCGCTGCCGTTGCCGTTGCCATTCCAATTGAATTTTTGCGAGACGAAATCACTTCAACGCCTTCGATTTCAATTTCCGCCACATTTCAAATTTGTATTCAGTTATTGCATTTTTGCCCGATTCCCCAATCGTAATCGCTGTATTCAGGGGTGGTACTTCCCCTTCTTTCGTAGGCGATGAGTTCGAATTTGTTCACTGTGCACACACAGCCAAAGTTGTTTTTGAGATATTGATCTGAAAATTGGTTTCGCGCAGATCGTAATTGCATTTAAGGTGACTAAACAAACATCCCATTCTGTTTCTGGGACATGCTCTACTTTTTTATAATAGAAAAAGTTTGCTTTATTTATTCTTTTTCTTCATAAATCTCTCATTAAACTCTGAAGAATTCCTGATGGACAGTTTTTAACAAGCAAAAAGTCATCTTTGGTCTCACTTTTCCGTTTCCAACTTTTGGTCTTCAATTTCTAATTACTCAGTTTTTTTTGCTGGTTTTGTTTGCATATCTTTCTACTTTTGCATTCTGTTTCCAGATTGCTTTTCTCCGCCTAGCTTGGATACCTCATTCCATTTTCCATATCTTCCTCCGTGCTATTCGATTGCTTTGCGATTGGACACGCACATGGAGAGCCATTCTCCCTTTCCCTTTCCTTGTGCTGCTTTCTCCTCGGGGTTTGCCGCATCTGGTTACGTAAGGCAGTACCTTTCGATGGTTCAGTGGTGTAACCAGTTACGGCATGGCCGTGCGAGCCGCAGTTTAACCCATCAATGCATAATGGTCGAAAGACCAAGAAGGTTAATAACCATATGTATCAATTTATTGAATGAAATATTTCATTAAAAGTTAGATCATTTAGTTTGCTTCCCAAGAAAGCCAATTCGTCTTTAAAAATGCTCCCAAGATATATCTTTGATTTACTGTACTATATCAGATCACCAAATCTGTTATCAATATTTTATAAGAGTTTTTAGTATGTAAAAAGCAACTTTGCTTCATAAAATAATGGGTTAAACAATCCGTGTGCCCACAGCCTGATCTAGAACTTTGAAGCCTTCCTCTTCCATTGCAGCGGCTTTTCGTGCATTTGTTGCTCTTGGTGATGTTGCTGTTGCTGATGATGTTGCTGCTGGTTCTGGTAATGGTCCTGGCCGTAGTCCTGTTCCTAGTCCCGTTTCCTATTCCTACTCCAATTCCTGTTGTTTGCTGTCACTCGAGAACGACGCTGTCTGGCTGCCTGAACGGCTGAATGGGCGGCGGCGGCCTGTTGTTGTAGACCGAGTTGTAATGGTGAGGCATCAATATCTCATTTGTATAACATATCGCAGTCAATATGAGACACGTGTATAAGTATCTAGTTTACCCTGTGGTGGTTTTAGCCTGGCCAAGTTGAGGGTTTTTCGGATGAGGGGGAGGAAGGGGTTGTGTCGTGTGGGGTCCGTTGCATGTCATTGTAATGGTATCATGCTGTAACAGATTTCTGTTTACCTTGATTTACATATGCACGGGGGGAGTGAGTGGGTGGTTAGAGATGGTTAGGTGGTTAGATGTGTGGGTGGTTGAGTAGGTGGCACACAAGCCGCAACAGAGCAAACAAACGACACTGCTGCTCACTCCTTCGTCGTGGCACGTAAATAGAAAAGAAAACACTTAAGCATGCACTTAGTCTTTGCGCCTTTCACTTCGTGTCGATGGCGACGTCGATGGCTGTGTCGCTTTGGATCAGGATATATATATATATATATATATATGTATGTGTGTATGGGCATGGTCATGGGGTATGAGTTTGAGTGTGAATAAGCACATGTGTGGGTGCCAGGATAGGGGCGTGTGTGTTGGCTGTGTTGTGTGCTACCAACTGCGATTTATGCAAATTTGTTTGGCTGCTGAGCCAAGCCCGGCTGTCGACTTTTTGTTAACAGTTTCTGTTCCTTCTTTCAGTCCTTTGTGCTCTGTGTCTCTCCCTTCTTACCCACTAAGCAAATAAAGTTATTTGCATGCGCAAGTAAATCGATTTGTGTATATCAAATTGTGGGGCTTCAAACAAAAAAACAAAGCACAAAAAAGCGCACACACACTCACTCTGAAAGCTGAAAGCCAAACAAAAACAAAAAGATTACCGCTTTGCCACATCTGCGCTGCAATTGCAAGAAAAAAAGAAAGTGTGGTGGCTACAAAAATCTGGATCACATGAACCGTTTGATATTGATTGAATGCCCCAAAACACACTTTCGCTCTAAATTCAAATACAATTAATTAAATTCTCTTGGCCGCTTTAATACCGCTTGATTCCCAATTTAATTGGGGCACAAAACAAATTTCAGCAATTACATTAGGCGGCGGTCGTCGGAAAATGGAGGGCGGAAATAATACCCGAAACTGCCGCAAAGCTGGCTACACATTTTGTTTGTCCATTTGAGAGCTTTCCGCTGCAGCTAATTAAAAATTATTAAAACTAGCAAGGGAAGTTAAGTCCATGGAGCTCAACGAGGACCCGACCATGGGAAATTGCCGTCATGTCAATTTACCAAATTGCGCAAACAAACAGAGGGCAAAAGGGGGCGTGGCTGTTGGGTGGTACGTATGGACAAGGCCACACCACACGCACATTTCGTAATTGTTGCACGTATGGTGCCTACGGTCTCCCTCCTCCCCCACCAAAAAAAACAAGGCCAAATCCTCACCAGCATCAACATGCGAGGCGGCCTCCCAAAAGCGGCTTATGTCCTGGCCCCCAACTCCTCTTTCGACTATCCACGCCCACGCATAAATTAACCAGCACTCACCCGGGAAAAATCGGAAAGCGCTTTTTAATTATATTTTCGACAATTTGTTTCAATACATGCGCGCCCTGTTTTATTTGCGCGGCTTTGTGGGCGGATCCTGCGGTTCGGTCCACTGCCAGTCCTTCCACTTCACGCACCGCCGCTCCCGGTCGTAGAACAGCTCGTTGGCGGGGCAGTGACGCAGCTGGGCGGGCTGATCCCGCTCCGCCTCCTTCTTACCGCCGCACTGCCAGTAGGCTGTGGGGTCCCAGAAGTGACGATAGCTCTGCCCTAGCTCATCCGGACTGCGACAGCCGGGCTCTCCGTTGTAGTCCCGGCCGGACATGGCTGAAAGGGGGAAAGCAGAAATGGGAAAGAAATAATCAGATTTATGATTTATCAGAATTAAATTATGTTTGATCAGAGATTAAATTATATTTGATTAGATATACAAATAATAAATCTTTGGTATTTCTTGAAAAATTTTTATAATATCATATCAGCAAACTTTCTCTGACACAAAAATGTTTTTATATGATACTCGTAACGTAAAAAATTCCATTAGATATCTTTCTTGATAATCTCCAGATGACATTACAGCAAAAATATTTACCTGAGCAAATTTAAACTTCTAATCTTACGAAAGCTATGTACTAATGCAACTATTTGTCATTATGATAGCTGTTTTCTTAAAAATTGCTGTCATTACTTAGTAACAATTTTTTTTTCAAAAATGTCGCAAAAGTCACCCGCAAATGTTAATAGAAAAGTAAATATTTTTCATAAGCTTTACCCTTGCAATTGATTAAACTAAATAAAAATTTCTTAAGATTTCATTTATTTTGTAACCATTTCAAATATGTTCTAGGCAACTGTTTCAGGCTGACTTGGTGGCAGAACAGTGGGTGACCAGACCCATTGCGGCCAGGGAACACAAGCTTTGGCAGAGTCCAACCAGGCAGTGGGCACAGGGCATTGAGCGAGCGTGGCCGGAACACCCTGGGTGGAACACACCCAGTAGGCACTCTTCAGGTAGAAATGAGGATATGCTCCCACCTCCAGTTCTTCTGCCGTTTGGCAACCAGGTTGTCCCGTTGGCTTGGTCACAGCAGCTCCATTACAAAAGGAGGAGCATCCGAGGATCAGGAAAATAGCGAACAAAGGGAGGAACTTCATCTTGAACTGAGAGATGCTTTCGTTGGACTGACCTATGCTAATCCAGAGGCCGCTTTTTATACACTCCACGGACGCTAGAAACCTTATCAAGCGGAACTGAGGTGTGATGCTGTGGTCGCGGTAAGCTCATCTTGACTCACCCCATCAGCCCATTCTGTTTGGCATTTTATGGCGCTGTTTGTTTGCCCAATCGTTGTTTCTTCCGCTCGAGCCGTTGAGCCAGTCTCCTAGGTGGGTCCGCGTCCACATTCACATCCACATCCATGTCTACATCCTCATCCAGGCAGCCTGCTTGCATATTCATGACATCAACGGCAGCTGTAAATTATTTTCAGAGATAGCCGGGGCAGGCCGCAAACAAGCGTAGCAGCCACGTTGTTGCCTTGGCCAATGCCAAACGCTGGATACGCTGGCTAATTAATTCAAAACACTGCCTCAAAGGCATTTTTGGGGCTGGGCCAACAAATTTCACCTGGCTGCGCGGAGAGAGGGCGAGCGGTGGGAGAGAGCGCCTTAAGCCACATTAGGGTCCGGGCGCACTTGAGTAATTGGCCCACTGCATTGCACTCCAGAGCGCTGCATTTGGTTGGGAGTAGGGAGTCGGGCAAAAGGCCTTCTTTACGCCCTCCTTGGCCTTTGTTGCTCAGTTTTGCGGATTGGGCTTTTGTTAGTTTTGGGCCATAAATTAAATCGGGTTATTAATGTCTGCCATTAAATGAAGCTACCGGTAGGACGAGCACTTGGCTGCATGGCAAAGTCCCCACTTCCTGCCGTTGTCCTCGTCCCAGTGCCTCGGAGTGATTTATGCTAATTCGTGTGGCATTTGTAGCATTTCCCGAGTATTTTGAGATTTTCAAAGACAAGGCCATTATTTTGCCAGTACGCAGGTTGGGATTTTGGCTCTGATTTTAACTTTAAACTGCCATCCCACGCACTCAAGCCAAAATTTACATAGAGATTTCATGCCACTGTCACTTCATACTACACTTTAAAACACACTTGCACGGGATTTAACGGAATGGAAAACAAAGGGCCTTCAATGCAATTAAATATATTGCGTATACGTCACGTATGCTAAAATTTCATTTCACAATTTTTACCTCTCCCTTTGGCTCTGCTTCGCTAGCGTAAAATTCTTTTACATGCAAATATTTTGTTGGATCTCACACGCACGGCGCCAAAAGCGAGAAATAAAAATTCAATTGAATCGTATTTTTTCGCCGCTTATTGATGTGCTCGCCGGTCTGACAAAGCGTTTGACTGACAACTGTGAAATGAAATAAAATGCTTTCGCACCAAATGCACGGGCGAGTGCATCAAAAATAGTGCAACTTATTGCCAGAGAGCATGGGGTTTGGGGTAGAGGTCGCCAACGGTTGACTGGGAACCCAGGATCCCACGCCTACGCCCCCCACCATGCCAGGCGAAAAAGGGGCTTCCACATATTGATTTATGACAAATGCTTTGGCGGCGGCCATCGAAACTCAAACCAAAAGAGGGGGCGTGGCCTGTCATTCGGGCCCGCTTAACAGCCGTCAGAAGCCGCACGTTAACAATTGCAACTGTAATTGCAACTGGCTATCGGCGGATCATCACACGGCTGCCATAAAAATACACTCTCTGCCATCCGGGCACTGAGCGAAAAGAGTGCTTGTGTCAGACATGAAGATCATAAATATATGATTCACAGAGAGATATGATATCGCTCTCGTGGATCTTGCTCTTGACATTGGCCAGATAAGTCGAGGGGCCCCCAGCACCCCTGGAGATACTCGTGCCTTACAAATATTTGGCAACGTGCTAAAGCAAGCAAGCTAATTGACACATTCATTCCGTTTTCTTTTGATGCTCTCAATGCTCTATAAAAATTGTTACTTGAAAATATAATTATTTTTGGCATTTGAAATGAAAACTATTTATTATATGTCTGAGTGTTGTGAATGGGAAGGTTTTATCTCAGAAGTTTACTATAAGCAAATGAGTGAATTATTCGAAATAAAAACCGATTTCCTTTACAATCTTTAGATGCTCTATAAAAATGCTTGCGTTTGCCTTTCCTCAAATAGCTAACAACCAAATATTTATTCCATATTAAAATATAAACTAAATTTGGTTTTATGATAATTAAATAAAACCACATATAAGCTCCTATAGCCATAAGGTAAAAAGCCTAAATTTAAAACAACACAAACACATTGCAAAAGTATAAATACTTGTTATCATAAAGTTTTTTTGTAAAATAAATATCCTAATTCGCATAATTCAGGTTAAAGTGCGTGACAAAATCCTGAATGTTTACAAATTTCCCAATTTAAGCCCCAATGGCTAACTGCATTTCTGGAAAACGATGTATTAGTACAAATAGTTGAACATGGAAAACTAATAAATTAGCATGTGTTTAATATTCCCATCATGCATACCTATTAGTTTTTCTTTATTGCAAATGCAAATGCTTATTAACCCATTTACGTGTGAATTTACTTTATTTTTGTTATTTAGGCTTTGGTTATTTGGTTAGCTGAAATATATTGTAATGAGCAAAAAATTTACAAAAATAAAGAATAATTTATAAAATTTGTTTATGAAAAATATATTCAAGAAATTAGCAATAATTTGGCCACAATATATAAAAAGGCAATTCGTGAACGAACCAAAAATATCAAAATTAAGTGCTATTAAAATGCAAATCCAGATGGAAGTTAAATTGAGTATGTTTAGCAGCAAATTAAGAAGAAAGTGTTTTTTATTCCTCTTTGATATGTTCAGTTCCAGCAGGGGTTATAGCCGGGTGGTCGACTTGGTGGCTCAACACATGGTTGCCACCTCCAAGCGATCCAAGGCACGCAGGCATTAATATCCTGGTCAAAACCCGTGTTGGGCTGGCATTTCTTTAGCAGGGCCTGCTGACCAATGGCCGTGCAGAGCCAGAACTTTGTGGGATCCAGACAATGGCGCTGAGCGACTCCAAGCTCCGCCGCATGTAGGCATCCCGGCTGAGTTGTATCGTTGCACTGGGAATGGATTCCGGACGGAAGCAGGAGCAGCACCAGGCAAAAGGCGAGTGGCCAGAGCAAAGCTAATCGGATATAATCAGCTTTAGAACAGGGAAGTTGCACCGATGGAATGGACTCACCTTGTAGACGCATGGTTTAGATAGCAGTGGTTGAAGCGCCGCCTGGTACAGGTGGTTTTTATACCACCTTTCAATCCCCTCAAGTGGCCATTCTTATCAATCGCTTTTGATTGATTTGAGTTCGATGCGCCCCTCGAGGTTGCCGCTTGTTTGCCCATCCCAGCAGTCAGTCAGTGCATCCCACTTGGCCGGGCTAAGCTGCACAGGGGAATTGCTGGGGTGACAATGCCAAGACAAAAGACATATGTCCGAAACGAGATTTAGCAGGAAACTCGAATGCAATTGGCAGTGGAAAGTAACAAGAAAATGGTGCAAGTAAAAGGCGGAAAGGCAACAAAACAGCAGCTTCATTCTTCTTATTCACTGACCAATTTCGCAGGACATGCCAAATGCATTTCCGGCTAACACAACACACACATGCATACATGCACACTGGCAGTTGCTGGAATAACGCAAGTCACTGCCAATGGGTTCTGTCTAACGTGGTTTACTTCTTAGGTTGCCCATTGACAGGGGCTAGAAAATAAATAATGAAGAAGTTCAAAGAAGAAATCAAACAGCTAGAGAAATACTTACAAAATTAGAACTAAATAAATATAGAAAAAACATACTTACAATTTTATGTAGTTACTCAAAATAGAATTAATTCAAGTAATTATTTGGCTTCTCATAAAAATTCAAAGATACCGCCAAACGGTGAACAGTGCTACCCATCACAAATGTTATCTACATCTTACTATGACACAAAATTTCAAGCTCTGGCAACGCCTGTTGGAAAATAACTCTGTTAGTCTGGCAGCACGTGTTGTAACTGATAACAAGGTTTATCCACTGGTTTGTGTTTTCTCCTTACAAATATTAGTGATTCCAGAGAAATTTAATATTTCTTAATGTATTATTTTTTATTCGTAAGCATAAAACTACAAAAACATTCAAAAGCATGTCGCCCTTTGGGTATGGCAATTCTTTTATAACGAAAAATTATTAATTTCAGAAAAACTCGTTTAGTGATACCATTTTGCATTGACTATAAAATCCTCGCCCCTCCCGGCCAGTGTTATGAGCCCTCAGTATTTCTGTCGAAAAAAGCCGCGGGCACACTGTTCAGAATCCCAATCAGAAATTAGAAATAAATTAAGTAATTTGTGCGGAATAAAAAAGAGCGTGCGGCCGATGCGATAACCGCAAGCCCCGTAACCAGCACCCCGCCGCCACCACGCCGTGATGCAGGCAACCAGCGCAGTGGCTGGACAACTCGGAAAACTTGGCTAACGCAGCTCCAACGACAGAAACAACAACAGTGTCAGCAGAGCCCCACAAAACTCGGTGTAGAAGGAATTAAATCTAATTATAAAAAAAGAAAACACGTAAAGGTCAAGCCAAACCCAACGGCGGTTAATTAGTGGCGAAACTAGCGAATTTCGAGACGGAGGACGAGCACCTGCTGCCCGCAGAGCCACCACTAGCAACTGGCACCTGATATTCACATGGGCTGAGTGGTGGATAGGATTGGCGAAGGCGCAGCAGCAGCAGCACCAGCGATGGCCAACCAACTGGACGCCAGTGTGAAGGACGACCTGAAGACGCAGTTCGTCACCCGCGAGGGCACCTACCGCCTGCTGAACCTCTCGGAATATTCCCGGCCCAATCGGGTTGGCTACAGCAGTAGCCAGAGTTCACCGCAAGTGCGCGTTTCCATGGTGACCCTGCCCAGTCCGGCGCAGGGCAAGCTCGGCACCGAAACGGGAGCGGGGTCGCCCGTAGGCGGAGGAGGAGGAACGACTACTACAACAACGAATGGAAGCTCACCAGGAGCTTCGCCGACGGGAGTAACAGGATCGGGAACCGGAGCCACCACAGCAATATCCAATGGCGGCGCCGGCGGGGATAGCAACTACAGCCACAGTAACCACAATAGCAACAGTGCAGGGAACAGCACAGTGGATGCACGCCTGGGCGGAGGAATCTCCATGCACTCTATGATGAACGGCGGTGTCGTGGACCAGAATGGAATGGCCACCAATCAAGTCTTAGGAGGCGATCGCATCTGCTTCAACTTCGGAAGAGATCTCTACGTCTACTCCTTTCGGGGAGCAAAGAAGGTAAGGCAATGATAGCAGTGATGGTTACATATCAGTATCCCATCCGAAAGCACGTGAGATGAGAGATAAAGAGTAGGAGGAGGTGCAGCGAGCTTATCACACCAGAGATAGGGGCTGCCGGCAATTGCATTCCAGGCGGATTGCACCAGCCAATTGGCAGGGGCTGGAATACCTTGCCATTTGCATGTAGTGTCCCCCCAGCGGGTTTAATTTGTTCCACTTCGAGCGCTTGATGATCAATTCGCTTGTTTGGCGTTTTTATGAATGTTTATTGCGCTCGAAGGCAGTTGGCTGTGAGCATTTCGAGCTCATCCCGGCGGGAAGATTACCCTAACTTTCAGACAGAAATTGTATGAACATGAGGAGTACATCCCATGTCAAAATATAATCTTAAAGCACTTGTTTTTTTTTTTTAGCCATATGTTGGTTTCTCTTTCCTCAATATATATTTGTAAAGGGTAATCCCAGTTCGACTTTCATTTAGCCGAATTGCTCATCGCCTTGCTTGTGTTTGCCTAGTTCCCCTGCTCCAGCTGTTTCTAATTCTTTGGCATTCTGTTCAGCAACAGCTTGCGATTCTCCTTCTGTATTTATTTTAGCTGGCTTCTTTGTTGCCATAGTTATCTGCTGGCGAAAACTTGGCAGGCGCTTTGAAAGGGCCTGCTCTTGGCCGTAGTCAGAGCTTTTCCCACCTGATTCCGCGAAACAAGCTGCTAATTTCTATGCCGCCGAATGTGTTAATTTCCGAGATTATTCCAACCCCACTGAGGGTAATCTTTCATTCCAATCTCAGCTCAAGCGGAAATTTGGGACTGTCCCGGTTTTCACTTTTGTTTTCATTTTATTGTCGACCGATCTATTAGTTGTAGTTATTGTATAATATGTCGACAATCTTCAATTGTTTTTTCCTTGAATTAAGAGTAACGAAAATCCAACTCTTATCACTTGATCAATGTTTATTTCATAATTCTAAATTTTCATTAAGAATATAGATTGTTGTATTGATGTTGTCTCATATAACTGTGTTTGTATTGTTTCTATGGAATAACTTGATTCAAATTCTGTAGTATGACTCGGAAACTACAATCCATAAGCATCAAGTTTCAGGGAACATTGGGATTATTATACCGATACGATTTGCTTGATTATTACACGAGTTATATGAGTTCCCAGCTCTTTTGGTATATTTCCAAAGTCAACTAACACTTGTAGAACAACAATAGAAAAACTTAGTGCAATCCAGAACTACCAAGATAAACAGAAACAGATGATAGTGGCTTTTGTTGACTTATTTTCAGGGCACGGAGATGAGCAAGCCGATCGATAAGAAGTTCTACAAGGGCACCAATCCCAGCTGCCACGACTTCAACGCGAGTTCAGCCACGCCCACGGGAGCGCCTCTACTGGTGGGCTTCACCACGGGCCAGATCCAGTTGGTCTCCCCACAGGTTGGTCCTCGGGAAGTAAGAAAGCTCTTCAACGAGGAGGTGAGTACCCCGCCGTATGATATATACTAGTTCAAAAAAATCTAATAATATTTTCTTTTCTAGCGACTAATCGACAAGACCAAAGTGACCTGCCTAAAATGGCTGCCCAACTCACCGCACCTGTTCCTCGCCGCCCATGCCTCAGGTCACCTTTACCTGTACAACGAGGAACTGCCCTGCGCCGCCACTGCGCCCAACTATCAGCCCTTCAAGCTGGGCGACGGCTACACGATACTCACCAGCAAGTCCAAAACGACAAGGAACCCGCTCTTCAAGTGGGTCTTCAGCACTGACAACTGCTGCATCAACGAGTTCTGTTTCTCGCCGTGCGGCTCCCACTTGGCAGTGGTTTCCCAGGACGGTTTCCTGCGCGTCTTTCACTACGACACCATGGAGTTGCTAGGGATCGCACGCTCCTACTTTGGTGGCTTCCTTTGCGTTTGCTGGTCGCCCGACGGCAAGTACATTGTCGTGGGCGGCGAAGATGACCTGGTAACCGTGTGGTCGCTGCATGAGCGACGAGTGGTGGCTCGTGGACAAGGCCACAGATCCTGGGTCTCTGTGGTGGCCTTCGATCCGTACACTACTTCGTACACCAACTGGGATGGTGGAGACTTTAGCGACGACGAGAATCAAATGAACGAGTACTCCAACTCTCGGGAGGCACGATTTTCCGCAGACTCCACAGCCAATGGTGGTTTTGAGGGATTCGACCGAAACTCCACCCCCGTGCATGCCGCCCGCAATCGACACTCGGCTTCCTTTCGCTCGGATGCTTCTTCGGCGGAGAAGCTAATGAGCTATAGATTAGGCTCCGTCAGTCAGGACACCCAGATATGCCTCTGGGACATCACGGAAGATGTGCTGCGCCATCCACTGGCACTGAGGCAGCGAGCGAACAGCGAAAGGGGCTATCTCAATGGTGGAGTGGATGAAGAACCAGAAGTAGAGGACGGAATCAAAGTGATCCGACCAGTGGCCATGTCTGGTCAGGCGAGTGGACAACAGGCGGAATCGGGCAGCTGTAGTCCCACCCGAGAAACAGCGGGCGGTGTAGCAGGAAACGGCGCCGGTGAGCACAGCAATAGTAGCTCCAGCAAGTTTTCGACTGCTAACTGCACGATATCTTCACAATCATCACCAGACGACTGTGACACCGAGGCAGCCACTCCAGCCTCCACAACCTCAAATCCAGGCGCAGGTACAAGCGTGGCAGGAGCGGGTGCGGCGGCTTCTACAAAGCATAATAATCGCAATCACAGCACGGGTAACTCAATCAAATTCCCTAACTGCATCAGCGCCACGAAGTCGGATAGCATCGATGGAGGAGGTGGAGGAAACGGAAGTGCACAGAGGCCATCACAGACAACGTCGGGATACAATAGCAAGACTTCCAACAGCTCGAATAAGTCCTCCAACTCGGGCAGCGGTTTCAGCGCCTTTAACAGCCTCACGCAGCGACTCTCGAACTTTAGCTTCCTGAGTAGCTCGGACAAAAAGGCCGCCGGATACGAGGGAAGTCACTCGACGGCCCACCGTCAGCACCGCAAGGCGATGAGCATGCTGAAGAGCTACAACCAGCACAACCACAGTGGCGGACACAATAACCACAGCCAGAGCAATCACAGCAGCTCGTCCAACTTTGGTCATTCGAGCACACTGGATTCGGGGGCGGCCGGGGCCATTGGGAGCAGCTCGACGGCGCACAGCTTTGGATCCTTGAAGCTGAGCCGGTCGTCCCATCACTCCTCGCTGGCCACGGCCGCCCATGCGTCGGGATCTGGAGCGGGAGCGGGCTCTGGCTCCGGGGTGAGCAGCTTCGACCCCATGCAACTCATTGGAACGCCCGCCTGCCCACGCTTCGATGAGTGCCCGCTGTTAGAGCCTCTTGTCTGCAAGAAGATCGCTCATGAGCGATTGACGGCGCTGATCTTTCGCGAGGACTGCTTCCTGACGGCGTGTCAGGATGGATTTATCTACACATGGGCGCGGCCTGGTCATGCCACGGTAAGTTAAATTCCCCTCTGTAGGTAACTTGAACTTGAAAAACATTTTATTAACTATAACATTTCTTTCTAGCACGCCACTCAGCACTTGTCGCCTGGACAGACGGTAGCGCCTGGTGGGACAGTAATTTAGTTCAATAAAGTGGTCAACTATCAGCGTAATCTTGTCAAGCAGCAGGAGCAGCAGCAGAAGCAGTTGGTGATAATTTATTGATAGGCAAGAGTTTTAAAGGTTTTTATGTTGCGTATTTTCTATTCCAAATGTAGCCTAAATGAGTTTATGAACCACACACACACACACACACAGACACACCGTACACCCGTAATATATATATATACGATATATAGCTATGTACAACATAACTACGACCTATACGCAGCATCAGGCAACAGAACAAAACGTATATGTTTAATCTAAATTATTAGTTGTAAATGTATTATTTTTTTAGTACGTGGAATTTGTTGAAAACAAAGCATGTTTATAACTATTACTAAGTGCTAGCCTACACTACACACGATAAATAAAGCAAAAACAGAATCAAATAGAGGCGAAGAGGGCGTTTTTCACATTGTGCTATGTACTGAGTTGCAGTCGAGGGCCCCAGACTAACCAACGACGAATATCTAACTATGTAAACTCACTATCCTAAAGTAGGAACTGTTAAGGCCGAGCAAGCAACAACCAACCACGAACACGTTACAGTAAAAGAGACTAAAATTTCAATAAAATTATATAAAAAATTAGTTTTTTAGCTTGTATTTATTTATAAAATGTGTTTGTTTCTAACAAAAATATGCTTCTCTCCCGCGAATCTCAATTGATCGCCAACTACTGAGGGGATTTTACATGCTGGAAATGACTGCCTTGGCTGCGGAACCGTTCAACATTCGAGTGGGGATCCTGGCACCGGATTGCTCAAGAAATAGTCTGCAAATTAACCTATCAAGCCAAATGGTTAGAACGCCTTTGGTACTGCCAGCACCTGCGCCTCCGGCAGATACAAATGCTTGGAGAGGAGGAAGGCAAACAGCGCCTGTCCTACAACAATCATGAAAAGGAAGTACAGCTTTCGCTTTTTTCCCCCGCTATAGTCTAACTGCTGCGGATTTCCATAAGGATCATAGTTGATGGCGCCACTGGGCGCAGCTGGTGAGTTATCCTGCAGTAACTTGGTCCGCAGCGTGCGGAGCTGGGATAAAAATAATAAAAATTACCGACTGCTTTTTACGAGAATTTAAACCAAATCTCACCAAGAAGAAGCCAAAGGAGAAGCTAGTATACGCCAGCGCGATATAATATCCAGATTTGAAGAACAGCGTGCTGACCATCAGGCAGACCACTATATTAACGTACTTATAGCCAGTGAAGGCCAGCAGGTCCAGAGTCTTCAAGCTCGTTTTCACATTCATTACGTATAGTGCTATGGAGTAGATTACCAGTTCGAAAATGCTATATGCCATTGCGCTGGAGGCCTGGATACCCAGCTGTTCCGGGGAGAAACGCTTCTGCATGCCCAATAGCAAGCCCGCTACGATCACGTATGTGATGTAGCCCATGGTGGGCAAATAGAGATCCGGGGCATTCACATCGTATCGTGGCTGTACTGGATGTTCTTGATCGTACCTCAAAGACCAGTCCTGAAAGGCACAAGTGATTGACTGAGTTTATGAATCTTGTGAGATTAACTACCTACCTTGTGGATATAAGGAAAGAAGAGCAAACGCAGTTTCCTGCCCACGTAAGCATTATCAACGGCAAAGTAGTACTTGAGCTTAGCTACAGGTACCCACTTCTCAAATTGGTTCTCCATTATCTGCTTGCCCTGATCCGCCAGCTTTTGGCCGTACTGCATGGCCATGTCCTGAACAATAGGCTGCTGAAACATAGCAAACTGTGGATACTGTCCAGTTGGCAAGGGCGCGGCTCCAGGTTGAGGTGCTCCGATACCGTAGGTGGGTGGGGCAGTTCCCTGTTGAGGAGGCTGTCCTCCGTAACCGAATCCCGGTTGCTGCTGCGGTGGCTGCTGAATTTGCTGTGGTGGTTGGATGAGATTGGGGTCAAAGCCATAGCTGTTGACTGGCGCCTGGGCAGGAGCTCCGTACATATTGGGGTCTAGCATCGCAGGGCCGGGAGGCGGGGCCATGAAGGTGGGGCCACTGCCCATCATGGCGTTGACATCGCTGACACGTTTCGTTGGCCTTGGGCGACCGGCAGCTGGGGCTATTTTGGGACAGAGCAGGGGTTAGTGCCGGAGATCTTTAGGAGGCTAATTGGGAAAGCGGGGGAACACAGGCAATCAAGCTACACACGCAGCACATAACGGAAACGTAGGGCAGGCACAGAAACTGGGTTGACAGGATGCAGTGAAAGCCAGGAGCGGCGCACAAAACGGGGTAAGGTGTAACGTAAACAGTGACAGCACTCCGGATTCCGAGTCCGGTCGGCGGAAGATAAGCGTCCGGAGTGGCTGCACCAAGCATCCTTCGGGTATACTTGCTTGCGTAGCCTGATCCTTACAGTTCTCCCACTTACGGTTCCGCATACCCGGGTTCGGATTGTAGTTCATCTTCCTGGCGCCTAATATTGTTAAAAAATACGGCTTAAGTTTTTAACACATCACCATACGAATGTTGTAGTGTGACCGTTGCTAATTGAGCGAAAAATTCTAAACTGGAACCGCTATCCTAAATGGTATGAGTCCAATGAAAGCAATAAATAAATTATAATTTTATCAATGGCAAATTACTTAAAATGTATTTCCATTTTATTATTTTACATTGATATTTTTTACATATTAGGTGCTGTAATTATTTCAAGCATTCAATTTATTATATGGTTTAGTGTGCACATAGTATTATCTTGGATAAAAAATACTACAAACATTTCAGTGCTGGAAAAGATTATTATAAACCACAGAACCAGTTCAGCAGTCTTGTCAGTTCGCCGCCTAACCAGTCACAGCATTTAAAACAACAATTGAAAAACATTAATTAATAATATTTCACTTAAGAAGTTTTAAATGGAGAACTCATTTATTAAACGGCGATCGCTAACGCTCAGCACTCGTCTTCTGCAGAAGCGCCACAGTGGTAAGTATTTTCCACTATGGGAAAAACCCAGAATGCCAATTAAAACACATTTTCCCTTAGCCTCGCCAAGCGGTCGGCCAGGAAATGGACATGATGTGGACACTCCTGGTAACCTCTCCCCCAATGCTTCATCCGCGATGGTGTTTACCTCCGATGTGGAAAGCACTCCACCAGCTAAGCATAAGCACAGCCTGGACGACAGTGTGGATTTTTCGCCTCGCCTGGATATAAGCCTCTCGCCCAACTGTCTCTTTTCGCAAACGCTGGCAACCGAAAGCCCTGAGGTGGGATGGCGTTGGAATCGGAGTAGCAATGCCACCACGGACAGTGGTTTTGACTCCGCGGAAATTGGCAGCATGAGCCAACGAGAAAGGCGCCGACAGATCGCCTTCAAGGGTGTCGAGGATCGGCGCAGTCAACTGGACAACGAGCAATGGCGGGCACAGCAGATGCGGGCCAATGTTATTCTTAAGGAGCGCTGCGCCAAACTCAATAAACAAATGGACCAAATAGTCGTGTCCGAGCCAGTAATTCCAGTGCAAACCCCCAAGATTCCACCACCTGTTGCTCCTCGTACAAGATCAGCGTGTAAGAAGGCTTCTCCAGATCCAGTGCTGCCTACTACAGCTGCCGCCGATCCTATGGCAGACTTTCTGAACGACTCAGAGACTGATCTTTTCCTGCTAGAGGCCTCTCAGCAACTCGAGTCCAAAATAGAACCCCAAGAAGCTCCTAAATCAAGCACCAGCACCACACCAACCAGCCACCACAAAGCGAAGAGACCGTCGTTCTACATGAAGTTTCTGGAGGACGAAAGCGAAGGCGAGGACTGGCTATGCGCTCTAGAGGAGGCAGTGCAGCAGGCCACGATGCCTAAAAAGCCGCGCACTTCGCTTCAACGCTACAAGTCTATGCCAACCACTGTAGATTCTTCCAGGGGAGTGTCCACCTTGACTAATGCGATTGCGGGCAAGGGCTCAAGCATCTGCACAAGTGCGTCCTCCTCTTCTGGGTCGCAACCCATTAAGCGCCATGCGAGCTCGCACGCCCTGTCGCCAGCCACTTCTCATGGTGAGTTTTTGACTTTTTAGACATAGACAACCTTATCATTTCGTACCATGCAGCGCGCGGAAAACTCTTTGGCAGCCGGAAATGAAACACGATAAGGTAACCAGCCCCCATGAACACCATCAGCTTCCCCTCAGCAAGTACCAATTGTGATGAGAAAAGTTAGGTTTAAGCTTTTTCATTTTGTTTAGCGTGGCTTGCGTTGCCCGTTTCCTTGACCATTCTGTATACGAGTGCGCTAATTGATTCATGCAGCTCTTAAGCGTCTTTGTAAATGTAAATTTAAGGCTAATTAAAAATTAATTGTAATTTAAAACAGGTCTCTCAATTGTTGCCTCGAATGTTTCTGCGTTCATTCGGCGCATGCGACTCGCCATATGTTCGGCATTATCGGGCCGGGATGCGCCGCCCACCTGCACAGGTGGCAGGGACAGGCAGCTGGATGCGACTGGCCACCGACAACCAGTGAGTAGTTGGCCGTCGCTAGAGCTTTCATTCACCGATAGAAAGTTCGTTGAGTGCGACAATGTTTTAAATTAATTGAAATGTAGGCGAAGGATTTCTGTTTTAATATTCAGTGAGTTGTTATTTATAGGTCAGTTAGAATTTATCAAGGCTTTAAGTTGCTTGGGAAGCAGCTTGGTAATACATAATATTAGTATTTAAATTTAGAGTACAGACTATTTGTGGTTTTGATTACCGGGTATCTTAATGTCTGAATACTCAACTACAAAGAAACTACGAAATTACACGAGCCTAACCCAAGTATTGTTATTTTAAAATTACTTTAGTTATTTTTAATTTTTATGTTACAATATACTCTAGATTTTTAAGAAACATATACATAACAGCCTTAATAATCTAATGCATATACATGTTTTCCATATTTTCCAGTTACAACATTCAGCCTAGTATATAATTTGTAGTTACCTTAAGCAAAAAACAAATAAAAACTTTTTATTCAAATCTTTACGTTCCTATGAATTGTATTTTTGTTTAATTTTGTAAAAATTGCCATTATTTCCATCCTACTTATAATTTTGCTTAATTTATAAAACACTAAAATTATTATTTCGGGCAATAAAGCTGATATTTGGCCACATTCAATTTATGAACAGTTCATAAAAATAATTTTAAAATTTATAGGCGTCTGAAAAAGGGATTTCCCTAGAAAGAAGAATTTATGGCAAATGAAATGAAAGTATGAGAATTCCCTTCTCGCACTTAAACGTGGTTGAAACAATCAAGTTAACATAAAAAGCCGGCGAAAGTTACCCCAGCTGTCTTCACTTTTCGCTTGGCCTGCAGTTTAAAGGCTTGGGTGCTTGAGGCTTTATGAACCTATTTGGGCTAAGGTCAAAGTTGAAGCCCTTTCGCAGCCATTACGCGTAAGAGGCAATTGCGTTCATGTTTATGAATAGTCGACAGTCGTCCCTTCGCGTTCTGCACTGGAGCATGTGACTCTAGTCGAGTCGTGCCGAAAGTCGGCGAAAGTCAAGTATGCTGCCATATGTTCACGGAGCGCAGCATAAACCAATAGCAAAACAGTGGCTAAAATTTAGCACGAGGTGGGTGGGGTTGTGGGTGCTTAATGGCAGCGGGCGGCGAAACTGGTGACGTCTGCGGGCCGCCTAAACCGCTGCAAAAGCCAAGCCAGTCGGGATGGAATGTCGGAGTCAGGAAAAAAGTCAAAGTAAAAGCTTAGACAGAGCAGCTGAGCGATAGCAGGTGAACAGGGGCTTAGTTAGGAGATTTATTGATGGGTCTAAACCTCTCTTTAACGAAATTCAGAAAGGGTATTTTAATTTTTCAAGAATAAAGTTTTCAAAATTGTCTAGCTTATTTCGGGGACAGCAAATAACTTTAAAGTTAAAAGGCTAAAACTTACTCGTTACACGTTTTTTTATATATTTATTTTTCATATATATATAAAATTTCTAAACATTATTTAAGTATTTAGATGAAAGAAAGTAAAATTTATAACAAAATAAAAAAGCAAAATCAATTTATTTATGGCTTACAAAACGTCCCTTTGTTGAAGTCCTGTAAACGCCCCTGCGTGAGCAAACGGGATAGCAAGAGATGCGTTTAGGGGTGCGTCAAGTGGGTGGTGGGTTGTTTTACGCCGCTTTTTCGAGCTTTCGAGCGAGCTTCTTTTTCCGAGCTTTCGCCTCCGCTTTGGCGCCTGGCGGACATTCATAATGGCGTCCGTCGATACCGCTGGCAAACAGTTCTCAGCGCGCAGCGCCCCAGTGAAGTTCGTGGCAGCGCACAAAGACCCCAGCCGAAATACAAAAAAAAATTTACTCCAGGCGGAAGGAAAGCACAACAAGCTCCAGAAGAGGGCCACAAATATACAATAAGGAAAACAAATCGCCACCACAACAAAAGGACATTTTCCAGCCGAGAAACTTGATCCTGATTCCTCGATTCGCGTGGCCAACTCAGAAATAAAAACGCTGGTTGTGCAGTGAAGCGCGGCTTTTATTTTCGACACCACATCAATCCCACCAAATAAAGAAATCCCCTTAAGGGACACCCCCGCACTTCTTGTTTTTACGGGCTGCCAGAGTTGCCCCATCGTCGCCAGGAGCCAGGAGAACTTCTCAAGACCAAGGCGTTAAATCTGAATTCCATGGCAGCAGCCGCATGGAGCTGGCTGTTGGCCCCATTCCTGCTCCTCCACTTGACCAGTGCAGGAGCGGGCGGAGGAGGAGCAGGAGCCGGAGCAGGGTTGAGTGGTCCCTCAGTTTTCACTAGCTCATTTTTGGTTCGTTTCCGTCGAGGAGTGGACAACGGGTTTGCCCATGAAGTGGCCGACAAGTACGGCTTCGACTAACCTAGGCCCGGTAAGTGGAATGTGCGAAAAATCAATTATTATATTGCCGACGGCCGGGCCGAATCATTCAGGCCTGGTTGCGAGCGTTTCAGGCTGAAATACTGCACTTGTCAGGCGAGTGTCAGGCGTTAATTGCGATTGCTCGAGGGGTGTCTCAGTCTGTACGTGTTTGAGTATATATGTGTGTCCTGTTTGCCAAAAGCGTGCTCAGAATGCCAAAGGCAGCTTTTGGCCAGCAGGCAACCGCCAAAGTTTTCGGCTCTGGCATTGGCCAACTTCCGTCGGCAGAGCGGAGTTTCCGTTGCATACTGCTAGGCGCAAATTTGCGCATTGCATGCTAAACAGCCATTGCATTCGATCCAAGGTCAACGTGGAGAAATTAAACTTTGACACACACGGGGGTAAATAACACCATATTAGGTCAGTCATTTTGCATATAAATAGCTTCTGTCTGAGGCACTTTGACCTGTTAGTCGCTATAGCAAAATGGGATCAATCAATTTTTATTTTAGCCTTAAAGAGTCGAGGGGCTTTAACAGAATATTATTTCATGTTAACAAGTATGTCATTCTTTATGTCAAAATAATCTAATTAGTATATATTTTTATCATGATAAATAAAACTTAAAAGTTCAACTAAAACTATAGTTTTTAAATCTTTTCGTAATCATTCTAAAATAAATACAAAGAAACAATATAACACATAACTTTGGTCTTGTTTCCCCCAGCAAAAACAGCAGCGAATTTAACTTTCTTGTCACTGAAGTATTCTACAATCCTGACAGCATTACGATTTCCACAGAGACCTCGTTATGTCTTTGGCATCCGTCAAAATAATGCATAACCATTGCCCAATTCTGTCAGCGGTTGACAGCTGTGACGCGCACTTGTTGCACACGCTCAGATTGGGTCAATAACTCATTCGAGGATTTCAGAATTAATGCGAATTCAAGAGCTGGAACGGACGCAATTAATTAGGAACATCAATAACAACTAGTGTGCTTGAGATGGGGTCAGGTCTTCGGAATGGGAATCGTAATAGGGGGCGATACATAAAGCAGGCGTTAAATCCAATTAACTCTCCTATTCCTTGGTAATCCGATATCGAGTCGGCACCTGAGGCCCCAATCCTCCTACTGGGAGTTGTCCTTGTTATCCGCTGGCTTTATTGCGACATCGATGCTGTTTGCAATGGCGCAATCTCATCTGCCCCCATCCGCAACCGAAAGCTGATTGCATGCCACAGTTGCCATGGACACTGCTCTCGCATTGCACAAGCTTACGTACGTGCCCTGAGAAAGGACTAATTGCGTCGGAAAGTTTTTCTTGTGAAGAATAAGAGGAGCAGCAATCTGTGCAGTTTCCACGACTAATTCCTGCGCAAGTATCAATGACTGTTGACCTGCAGCGTTTTCAGGAAAATTACTCATTTTCCTGTAATCTCTGTGAAATTATTTATGGCAGAGTACTACTTAATTATTTTTTGATTTTTTTTGCTGCTTGTTGGTTTTTCCCTCGGACTTCGAACTCGTTTTAGATAATTGCCAAAACTCCCATGCTCTGCGTGGGTGTGGCCCTTGTAATAAAATTGCGGCACATATAGAAGTTCGAAAAAGCAAAAATCTGTTGCTCCTACGTCAAACGCTATCGCCGAATACAAATCAAAATGTATCCCAAACTGAAAGTGTGTGCTTACCAAGGGCAAACTCACTTTTGCTCTCATTCCAATCGATATTGCGTATACGCCGCCGCGTCTTATCTGCGGGACTTTGACGATGTTGCTGTGTTTAGATTTTATTGCCTTTGATGTTACGACCTTATCGGCAGTAAAACGTTAGATTCAGTCAGCTATTGCCGTGCAAATCTAAATAAATCTCGATTCCTGTTGAATGTAATTGCTGGCCGACAATTTGAAAAATAAAAAAGAAACATAGGCTGTAAAGGCAAAGAAAGTGAAAGTCAATTTCTTGCTTAAGTAAATACATATGCTTCCTTACTGCCCACGCAGGATTTCTGCCCACACACTGGCTGGAGTTTAATACCAGCAGCTCTGCAATTTTATGCCCAGTGGTTGGCCAAGAATAATTTCCAAAGTTGCCTAATGCCACAAAGCGGCCCGTTGTCTTTGCGATGATTAAAAGTTTATCTACAACCAGGCTCAGAGCCTTTAAGCATGCATAGTGTGTCTGCATGTTTTGTGTGTACTAACTTTAAAAGCCAGCAAACTCACCTGTCAGTGAGCCCTGCCCCTCTCGACCATCACCATCCTCCTGAGCCGCTTGTCGTCGTTGTCGGGGCTGGGAGCCAAATCCTTGCATAAAGCGTTAAGTCAGGACTCCTTTTGACGTGGCCAACGGCAACAGGCGTTAGTTGTTTGCCCCCTTCTCCCTTCCGCTTGGTGTTGCTGTTTGAAAAGCTCTCTTAAGTCCCAAGAACATCAGCAACAATAGTGATTGCAGGAGCAACAGCAGATTATTACAAGAACGTTTACGGGGACACAGGAAAATATCAACAAAATTGGTTGGTTTTAGTAAATTTTCTGTTAGGATTTTGATATTTACCTTCTTAAGACTGAATAGAGTAAACAAGTGAATAGATGCCATGGTATCTTTGAAGATCTGAAAAGCAATTTCTTCCTTTAGCCTTGATATTAACAATGTTATAGAAATGTTTATTTGCTAATGAGGACCTTCCATATAAATGTCCTTATTATGCTCTGTTCATTCACACCCTTACAAGTATTTGCTTCTCTTAAGTTTGGCCTAGATCTGTCAGGAGTTTCAGAAATGTCAACGCTCATCTGGTATGCATAGTTTCATATTTGCTAAGCCATAGTTTTCTCATAAATTATGCAAGAGTGTTGTGACCTTATTAGAATGCCAACGTGTACCCGTAGTTGGCCTGCATAGCCCCAACTTACTAAGCATCTGAACTTATCTTGGCCACAAAAACCAAACCGTATTTTGTTGTTTTTAGCTTGAAAGAGAGAAGAGTTGATCTGCGAAGACAAATGCTCCAATGACTTTGCGGTCTGACATTGGCACATTCGTCTCCGTTTGCTTATCTTTGGCTGTTTTCCTTTCATTTATTATGCCAAATGAAAAACGAGTTTACAAATTTGGTGGCCGCTCGCCCAGATGTTTGCAAATTAAAGGCACGGACATTTGGAACCCAAGGCTAGCATATGTTGGCAAATACAAGACAAACAGAGGAGGCACATTCCGCTTTCAGTGAATGGCGCTGGACAAACAGAGACGCAGTTGGAGTTCAAGATGCCAGATGCCTGGGAAAAATCTCGCCCCAAAAACCGCAGGCACACACGCCACCACCCACTGCACACACACACTGTGTCTCTCTCTTTCTTTCTCTTTGGCGAACACACAATGCCTTATCACGTATACGCAGTGTTGTGGGCCAAGTCCAGGCGCATTATTTATTTATTTTTAGCCCTGGAAAGCAGCTCGATGGTCCTTTACAGGACAAAGGCTGCCCATTGTAGGGACCAGATGACAACAATTTCTCACAGATGGAAGTTTTACGGCTATTAATGCAGCAATTGGCTAGGAATAGTTTTGTCTGGTGTTTTTTCCGTGATGCCTTCAGCATTTATAGTTAAAGTACTAAAAATAAAGCTAGATAGACGAAAAATTTGACCAATTTCGAAAGCAATTTAAGGAACGTTCATAAAAAGGGTCTGTTGTCCTTACACTATATGAAATTTATGCTGCTGTTTATGACGCACACTTGCAGTGGTTTATAGTCAGTATAGTATAAACCATTTTTTGCTTGCAGCTACTGACTGTGTTGCCTTGAAATAAGCGATGCAAATTTTTGAAAGTCAGCATAATTTATTTCCCTTTAAAAGAATACTCACAATATGTAACTTAAAAGAGCAATATGATTAATCAAATATATGAAAATACTTTATCCTCTCAGTGAGGTACTTAACATAAATCAAGGTTTTTTGTCTGATTTTCTTTCAATTTTGATCACACTAAAAGGTTGACATTGCCTCAACAAAATTACCAAAGTTACTTGCCTTAACTTTTCTTTTTCCCCTGTGAAAATGTGACGACGGAAGCTCAACGTCTGGCAAATATTTGCCAGTTTTTCGTTTGCATTTTCGGGGATATTGTGTTACGCAACTTAGCCCAACGCCTGACCCCAGAGATGTATCATATGATAAATGTGTTTTGAACTATAAATATCATATTAGCAGAATGGTAGGGATTTCATTAGCACTAATGCTAATTAGAAAGTTTTTCGGGTTTCGTTTAAACGAGGTCACTCAAAAAGTGTAACCGAACTTTAACTAGTTTAGCTCCGGCGCCTGTTTAGCTTTTCTCGATGTTTTGCAAGGATATTCATTTGGTGGGGGAAAATAGGGAGGCACTAAAAATAGACAAGCTGTAAACAAGCTGCCTGGCTCAGCGCGGATCAGCTCTCATAATGGAACCAATGGACCGTGCTCCTGAGCCCGCACAGGTGTCTCTGTTGGACAGGTGTCCCTAATGCACACTCCACTCTTGCCTCTGCTCCTGCTCCTGCTTTGGCTCCTTTTGAGCGTCCTTGGCTGTCGGGCTGCCATCATGGATAACAATTTAATAAATCAACACTTGAGCCTAAGTTTTGTCAAATATTTTGGCCTCAACAAAGGAAAATACTTCGAGTGCCACACAAAAAGAGAAAAAGGAACCGAGGCAGGCACAAAGACCAAACGTGCCGCTTGCTTTTTATAAATAATTAAAAAACTTTTTAGTCCCTCACTCCCGAAATGTCTGCAGTTGATAAACGAGTGTGTGAATAACACACAATACATAATTACTTTTTTGTACATTTCTTTTTCAGCCGACCTGGCTTTTGCGTGTGCACGCCTGCAAATGTCAAAGGTCAGTTGGTAAAAGTTTTGTTTGCCATGCGGCAAATTTCATTCCGATAAAATTAGATGAAAATCTTGAAATTTAATTAGCCAACTGCCAGCTGGCGTGGCTGGAAAGAATGTAGTTCGTACCCGGGGACCATAAAATGTCGAGTCTCCTCTGTTTGCTTTGAGAAATCGCTCATACGCAGTGTCTGCCCAGCGTTGGCATGTCAATGTCAACAGAGCGCTACAGATAATTATGTTGTGTGCCAGCGGCCAAGCTGCCTTTGCCCTGCTCCGAATAGAAAAGCATCTTAAGAGCTTACTACCATTCCATTGCTTTAAACAACGTTGGCCTTACATTTTGACCCAAATTAAAGGCAAGAGTCTAAATGCATCGAGATTTATTTCATTTTGCCGCACAGTTGCAGTTTGAATTCATTTAAAATGTACGGCTAAAGCTTAACTCAATTTGTGGAAGTTTAGCCATTGAGCCAGCCAGCAAATCAAATGCCACAAGGAGTGGCACATTCCAAAAGCCTCAATCAAAGCTTATTAGTCGAGTTGTGCGCAGCTGTTTGTCTTTGCCGCATCCTGCTGAATTATTCACGAGCCTGGGCCTGGCCATTCATTTGCATTTCTTCAATTCGCCACCTGCCATCGAGGTCTTCTAATTTTAAGGCTGTGCAAATTTGCATGCCATTTATTGACGACTGGATTTGTGTGGATCGCCAAGCTGTCAATCTAAACACGCTTATTTGCATTGTTTTGGCGCAGAAGAGACAGACTTGTTTGTGTGCGAATTTTTCAATTGAATAAAAGTGCCATTCTTGACAGAACGATGAAAAAAAACACTTGACGCGGATTTTCTCTGCATACTAACTAAGTTTAAATGCTATCATTTCGATTTCCATTTCAGCAGTCTGATTTTCCCTTGTAACGATAATTTATGCAAACACAATAGTGCACTGACATTCAACCCATATTATTGATTGATTGATTATTTGGTGGAATGGAAAGAGGACGGCAATTTTTCCTAATTAGAAACGTTGCACTGGGAATCGGATGAATGTGAACACATTTATCACATTGTAACCAGACTGCTATCTATATTATGTGTATGCCAGTAGTTATTGAAGGGCTAATGCCACTAGAAAAATTGGCCAGCTACTGATAAAGTGACTGCGCCTGTCCTTGATAAACGGCTGCTGCTGACGTCGGTTAACTAAACCGGGCCATTTTGACTAACTGAGCGAACAAATTGATGAATGGTTTTTCCTCGGGCCGTTCAATATTTGGATACAAATAAAAGCGACGATTGCGTAATGTCTTTTATCTAAGCTGTTGTGCTTGAGCTGTTCAAATAATCTCTTGTTGCCCAAGGGAATCGGAAGTCAAATGAAAAGGGATTGGTTTCCTAGAAATTTAATCAATATATTCTATGACATGAAAAGTTTGACATTTATGAAATTTTTGTATACCTTAATAATACAACCAGAAATACATTATGTTCTTTCATTAAGAAACAAGATTCCTTTGTACAAATAGAGGGAATTATATTTTTATTGACGCTTTCATTGCACACAATCAATACAGCTTGCCTTATTTTTAGATTGATTATGCTAATGCATGCAAATAAAAAATTAATGGCGTAGGATGTAAGAGTTGCTATCCCAAAATAATATGCACAACGCCCTCATAGAAGCCATAAACGTTTAGCACAAACTCTTCTGTCTGAAACAAATTTAGTATGACATTGAAAACTAAATATTTTATCAGCTCTTCCGATGGAATTTAAAAGCAATTTTGTTTGCTCAACTTGTTGAATGCCCACCATTGTGTATTGTACCATCGGCAGCTGACCGAACAAGAATTCGATTAAGGTAAACAAAGAGGGCTGTATTAACAAGTTAAAGTCCTTATTGTGTGCACACTCTGAGCCCCAAGGCACACACAAACGTCCATTGTTGGGCTATGCTATTTTTGCAGGCACTGTGAAATATCTGCTGCACATAAATACATTGCTCTATATAGAGAGGGAGATGGGGAGGCTGTCATGTACAGCACATCTGCTGATATTTCAGCTTTTTCATCCAGTTTTTCATTCACCTTTCATGAATTCGCGCGGGGCGAGTAAAAATCCATAAATTTCTGATGTTGACGGGCCATGAGAGATGACGTGTCAAGGCGGAGGCGACTTGTGGCCATGATCCCGGCGACAAAAACCGCCCACTCCCAACAGACATCCCCAGTGATGTAACTACACAGCTGTTGTCCTTTTAGCCAGGCTAGTAACGACAAAAAAAGTGAAGCCTTTCGAGCAACAAGTGTCGGCGAAGATGTCAACGGCGTGTCGTTAATAAATTTGCTATTTAAATGCGGCAGCCAACTAATTATAGACACCATTTTGGCAGGCTAAAGAGTGAGCAATGGCTGACACACAACCAAACACACATGTTAGAGAAGGCTTTGGCCAAGTTTTGTGTGTGGGCTGCGTGAAGCTTAAATAACTCACACATACACTGAACAAAATAAGGGGAGGGTGGCGAACAGCTGCCACTTGCCACGAAGCCAAAGCCCCTGTTTCAGTGCTATCCTTACTTTATTTTAGCCCCGTTATCACACAGTGTGACACATTATATTTATAATGGCGAGCCAGGCCATGCCATGCACACAGACACAATGGCAGCTATATTGCTACATTAGACGTCGTCCTGCTTTGTTGCTCTTAATATTTGTGTTCATCTCCTCCCACATAAATCCTCCGACTGAAGGTTTTTGTTTTTACTTTTACTTTTACTTCACGATATATACCATATGCTGTGCTGTGCTCATGAAGAAAAATCCGCAAATTATGCGGGGACATCTAAAAATATGCAAGCAATTTAGCGGCATGTGGTCGACGAGATTAGTTAATTCCCATTGTTTATCTGTGCCGTGGGTTCAAATGCGCCCACTGTGCGTATACGCCATTCTATCGTTATCTATTTAACTTTTTTCGTTAGCTGGCAACATACTTAGGAAGTCCATTAAACTGGATAGGACAAACAAGCTAGCTGGCCAGCTGTTGCAGTACCCATTGAGTAATTTACACACAAATTAACAGGGCATAAAAATAGCCAAACTTCCCCTTACTTTTCCTTATTGTCGAACTGTCTGTGGAGAACTGTGATTGACAGCAGTCAACGGATTGATGGCCCTCAAGTTACGCGCCTTGCCGTTGTTTCTCTGCTTACTTATGCGCGGCACTTGGCGCCTAAGTAAACCAGTGGTGGCCCATTTGCACCCTCACTCCTTAAGTTTCTCTAGGAAGAGTGGAGCCCTTTATTGACTGGTGGTGGTAAAGGCTGACGTGGCTGGCTAGGAATTTATCAATTTGTGACACAAAGTCTGTAAATGTAAAGCCGAATTCTCTTCGCATAATTTCGGGAATATTTATGATTAATGTACACAGAGAAATCGGAGCTTGAGTCCAGGCGTTTTGTAATTCAAGGAAAAGAAAAAGATAACCATTACTCGTTACCTTACAAAAAAGTTTAAAAATAATTGAAATTTATAGCTTATTCTTTACATTAAATTGTTTGCATTTTATGATCTAAAAGTCAAGAAGTGTACTATAAATTTTGAATATTTTGTAGAAATATTTCCCTCTGTGTCGCCAAAGGGTCTTCTGATTCCGCTTGTTAATTTTGCTTGAAAATGATTAAACACTTTCGCCGTTTACTTAGAATTACGCATTTCCGACTGATCAAAGAAATTTCTGCCATTCCTGCAACCCTTACCACTGACCCATATTCCTTTGTGGCCAAAGTGTTGAGGCCAAATTGAAAGTTTGTAGACATCGGTCAGAAAAGCCGTAAACGCCGAAACTGGCAAAGAGTAAAAGCATTCTTCTGCTTCAATTTGCTTGCCCAAATGTCCATATTCATATTTAATGCTGCTGCGAAAAGGACGTGAATCCATAAAAAGGCAGCGTGGGCGTGTTTTGCATAAGCTCACGTTGATGGAACTCCGATGGGTTGCAAAAGCTTTGTTTAGAGTTGCTTGGTGGCAAGGTTTAGGCAATTACCCACGTGTGCTCAGCGTTCTGCCACGAAGCTTTTCAAGTCACCATCCTTATAATTTTCTGCTGCCTTAGTTAATGAGCAAAGTTTTAAAAATAGACTCGCCGTTGGGTTCCTTTTCGCTGGCAATTGATGGGTATTGTCATCGCCGTTCCCCATTAATGCCGTTTTATTGAGGCGCATTTGCGCGAATTATGAATTGATAGCAAGGGCACTCAGCGCCGCACAGCTGCTAATTAATCACGATGTAAGCCTGAATTATGCAGGACGCTAGTCGCCCAAAAGGGCAAAGTTAAGGCTAAACGACGCCCAGCAGCTGGCCAAAACGCCATTCGAGTCTCGAATATCTTAGAGATGAGCAACATGTTGCAGGCGGATCAAAATACATACACTGAGGGAAACGAAATGGAAGAACAATAGTCTCGGGTCTAGTTTTATGTACAACTTTGCCATAGTAATGGTGACAGACTTTTTTTAGGTTCACAGTCTATAATCTTGTTTCAAGACGATTTTGCCTTCGTGTAGACCAAAAATAGTGGACCATTTCCCAAGGGCGGCAAGCCATTGGCCAAGTGAAAGTGGGTTTGACTTGAAGGCCCGTCACGTATCCTGTGGAAACCCGAGATCCCTTTCACTAAAATTGCAGTGGGGAAAAACGGAAAATTACTGGCTCACTCTTGGCCAAGCTACTGGCACTCAATTTACCAAAGCCAATTAATGATGATGATGTGGAGTTGCTGCTGCTGCTGTTGCTGTTTGCTCCTGCTGCAGATGATGATTATGACTGGCAATTTAGCAGCAGCACACAAAACCCCTCGCAGAATGTGTGAGGAATAGCTGGGGCCAAACTCAATTAGAGCGCAATTACGGGTCACGCTTCTAGGCGCAAAACAAGCACAGAATTAATGTGTTTTCCTCAATTAAAATGCCACGGGGTCTAATGAAATGTTGCCTTGCATTCTGGAATCTTTACAGCTGGTCGGAGCCGATGGACACGAGTATCATTTCAAGCACCGGACTCTTCCCCATGCCCGTTCCAGGCGCAGTTTGACGCACACACGGGCCCTCAAGAGCCACCCAGCGGTAAGTAGGTGGAAATGCAGAAAGTTTCCATCAAGGACGAAGGGAAAACTGGCACACTTACTGTTAGTTCAAGCGAAAATACGGCAGAAACGTGCTTAGCGCAATGGAATGAAAGAATGAATACAGATAGGGAAATAAATATTAATTGGTCTTCATATTGATAACACTTTATTTAATAATATTTGTAAAGCAAAAAACATAATATTTTTGTATAAGTTTTTAAGTCCTGGAGGAAATGCCGAAAAGATTTTGATTTGTTAAAATGAAAGATGAACTCTTATTCTATCTACTTAAAGCTATATTTACATTATTATTTATGTCCTTAAAAATAAAATTATAAGTGCAGAAAGAGATAACTTTGTGCTCTGTGTAAGTGGACCAGCACGTAGCAATGTGCCCGCCTTTCCGCAAAAATGTCAAATGCCAGAGTTCATTGCTGGCTCCCAAAATAGTTTACACCGGACATTGTTTGCCGTTCTGCATAACGGACATCGATTGCATTGCGATTGGACGTGGGTCCATTTGTCCACCGAAGTGGAACGTGCCATTAGGCCATTGTCGATAATCACCGTGCAAAATGCAGAAGACAAACAGAGTGTGCATCCATAGGACAATATGGAAATTGGCATGCAAACTAGGTCGTTCCGTTTCTGTTCACAGCTGTTTGCACAGCTTTAGATTAGAACACACTCGCATAACAATGACCCGCATGTTGCTGGGACTTACATGGAGTTCGGGTTGTGTGACAGATGGTCTCTAACCCTAACCCCTTTGCGGTTACCACAACGACCTTAACACTAATGGGCTCTCCCAATCCTCAGGTGCATACTGCTGTGCAACAGCCGGGATTCAAGCGAGTTAAACGAGGTTTGCGGCCGGCAGTGCCCGCCATTCATGGCATGAAGTTCGACCTGAAATTGGGCGAGGCCAATCGAATTGAGGAGGAGCCCACCGACCCGTACTTCCCCATGCAGTGGTATCTCAAGAATACCGGTCAGAATGGCGGCAAAGTGCGGTTGGATCTGAATGTACAGGCCGCGTGGGCCCAGGGAATCACCGGAAAGAATGTAACAACGGCCATCATGGATGATGGTGAGTATTTTCGGAGGAAAAATAAAAATCCAATCAACTTTATTATTAACTTTTTACTTTATTGCCTTTGCTGACCAGGCGTGGACTACATGCATCCGGATCTGAAATTCAATTATGTGAGTTCGACTAACACATTTCAATTTACCCTGACCGTGTAATGACATTTGCAAGCTTTTAATTAAATTTTGGCTTACTGCACATATCAGTCGGTAATGTGGAATTATTCCTAGCCAACAATTGTTGGACTGAGGTTCTATATATACAATTTAATTTGCTCAACAACGAACTGCTGAAACCCCTAATGTGCATAGAAAGTTGGCAGGAAATTGAAGCTAAAAGCTTCAACTTTTTCTGACATTAAAAACTTTCCACCATTATTATTTTCAAAGTGCTTGTCTGTCATGCATATTTAAGTAGCTCTAGCGCAAGGTCTGAGTCTAGGGCAAGCCAAATAATAATGTTACGGAATAAATTGAACAATTTTCCCCAAAGCTACAACAAAAAACACTCAGCGTACATATGTAGCCGTTTTTTATCTGGTTTCATCTACTCTTTTTCAGAATGCCGAGGCCAGTTATGACTTCAGCAGTAACGACCCTTTCCCATATCCACGATACACCGACGACTGGTTCAACAGGTAAGTGAAAGTAGTGAAAGGGGTGAGGTTTTCCTTGGTATTGATTAACCAGTTTTCGGGGGAAATGTCCTTGAAAGCCAAACGAAATTTATAAGATAATCAAATGACTTAAATGAAATTCACATCTTGATGAGTTAAGCTGTATTTTCTTCATTGTCGCCAAACAAACTTTTACTAATTGAAAGGCGGTTGTGGAATTAAGTGCTATTTGCTGTTGAGAGTTTCGAGCTTCATTCATTAAGCCCTTTCCCACAATTGTTAGTTTGGGCCTGTGTGTCAGCTTAATGGATAGAGAGGACTTTTTATTAAGCTGCTTACCTGCATAAAACTCTGTAAATGTTTCACCGCACATCTTACCCTTGTGTTCTACTATGTTTTGCAGCCATGGAACTCGTTGTGCCGGCGAAGTGGCTGCTGCCAGAGATAATGGAATTTGCGGCGTTGGCGTTGCTTATGACAGCAAAATCGCAGGTAAGTGGCTTTCCCAGAATCCGCTGAATAAATATATATACACATATACAAATATATGCATCTTCGAGGCCATGACCTCCGAAGTTTTTGACTGATAAATCGTATTACGCATACGCAGCGTAATCCACGAAAAAAGCGGGGTGATTCAATTGTCAGCTGTAGCTATTTGTGATATTAAATGCAAAGTTCATGGTTCGCGTTTTGTTGTTGTAAATTTAGCTTCGAAAAAAATCATGTCACATGAAATAGGGTGTCTTGTCCTTTGGGTATGGGGCGGCAACAAGTGCGGTCACAAATCCAGCCGCGTTATCTTTCATTTTTTATCGCTCGCCAGGGAGAAATCATGGGAAAAATCGGGAAAATTTCGAAAAACCGCAGAAACGGAGCCGGGAAATGCAATGCCATTTTTACGATTGCCATAAAAGCGACAAGTGAAAGTGACGGGTGGTGGGGGTCGTATAAATATTGATTTATAATTTCCGCCATTAGATTTAATGCATACTTATCGCCCGCTCCGCAGGCATTCGCATGCTGGATCAGCCCTACATGACAGACCTAATCGAGGCCAACTCCATGGGCCACGAGCCGCACAAAATCCACATCTACAGCGCCTCCTGGGGTCCCACCGATGATGGCAAGACTGTAGATGGTCCCCGGAATGCCACAATGCGTGCGATAGTCCAGGGCGTCAATGAGGTACGAATGAACAAAAGGTGCAGGGGTCCAGCCCCGGAATTTATGGCTAATCTTTCATACCACCCGCAGGGTCGAAATGGTCTCGGCAACATCTATGTTTGGGCCTCCGGCGACGGTGGCGAAGAGGACGACTGCAACTGCGACGGCTACGCCGCCTCCATGTGGACCATTTCCATTAACAGCGCCATTAACGACGGCCAGAACGCCCACTACGACGAGAGCTGTAGCTCGACGCTGGCGTCCACGTTCAGTAACGGAGCCAAGGACCCCAATACAGGCGTTGCCACCACGGACCTCTACGGCAAGTGCACGACCACCCACTCGGGCACCAGTGCGGCGGCGCCCGAAGCAGCGGGCGTCTTCGCCCTGGCCTTGGAAGCCAAGTGAGTAATCCCGCCCTGTTCCCACAGAGATTGGTACACTAGAAAATTGATGGTGCCAAAAAAATATTCGAAAGGAAATTAAATTAAAATAAAGAACTCATCAACATTTAATATATTATTAAATATTTTGTTGGCATCATTTAACTATTGATAGCCAAAGAATACAGCATTCATTTTTCGAGTGTACTCCTTTTGTCACTTTATGAATTTATGCTAATCCCACTTGAACCCCCACTTTCTTTGGCAGTCCGCAGCTGACTTGGCGCGACATACAGCATCTGACGGTGTTGACATCGAAACGCAATTCGTTGTTCGATGCCAAGAACCGCTTTCACTGGACAATGAACGGCGTGGGTCTGGAGTTCAATCACCTCTTCGGGTTTGGCGTTTTGGACGCCGGCGCCATGGTCACACTATCCAAGCAGTGGCATGCAGTGCCACCACGATACCACTGCGAGGCAGGAGAGCTTACCCAACCACAGTGAGTATATCATGGAATACTTCCTGGCTTAACATAGCTTAACCTTGCTTGTTCTTAATCCTAGGGCCATCGTCATGGGTCGTTCGCTATTCTGGGAGATCAAAACCGATGCCTGCAAGGGCACTGACACGGAGGTTAACTACTTGGAGCATGTCCAGGCGGTGATCTCGGCCAATGCCTCTCGACGCGGAGATCTTGAGCTTTTCCTTACGTCGCCAATGGGCACCAAGTAAGTTAATAAATAAAATATGCTAATATATATATTGTATGAGATTTTTAGTATACTCATAAGTATATAGGACATCTATATTCTATATCGTATTAGTAACTAATATATCATCAATTATTTAACACATAGATCCATGATCCTGTCGAGACGTGCAAATGATGATGACCACCGTGATGGCTTCACCAAGTGGCCCTTCATGACAACTCACTCGTGGGGCGAGTACCCGCAGGGCACCTGGAAACTGGAGGTAGTGTATACTAAGTACTATATTTAGTTCGGTTATCTAAACGAATCCACCTACAGGCACGGTTCAACTCGCCGCAAACCCGGCATGGCAATCTGCTGGAATGGTCGTTGGTTCTTCATGGCACTAAGGAGGCGCCCTACCGCACCCTGCATCCCTCATCGCCGCACTCTAAGCTGGCCATTGTAAAGAAGGCGCACGAGGACAAAAAGATGAAGTAGGGCGGTTTGAGCAGAGGCGGGTCAGAGGTCAGGTCCAGATAAACATCCGCGTAGCGACGTCCATTAGGCAGCTTGGCGTTTTATCAACGAGTTTAGTGTGAGGTTCAATAAAAGTGCTGGCTGTGTTTTATTTTGGAATAGGATTGATTGAGATTAAACCATTGGTTTCGATTGTGTTTTTCCTTTATGTAATTTCAAGTATTTGCTATTTGTTTTGGATTTGTCGAACTGAAAGTTCATTTAAGCAAGTGATGTTCTTTAACATTTTAATTTGTGTAATAACTTTTCTGATTTAGTGAGCTAAGCCACAAAAGCTATTAAAAATAATTTAATTCGCTGTTTGAACTATTTCTGGAAATTGCAAAGCGCACATTAACGACAGTAGAAAAGGAATCACAAATCCTGCACCCAACACTATGATCCGTTGGGTGTTCTAGCAAACTCTGTAGTGAATATCAAAGACAACCACATAACTAAGAACAATGAAAACAGGTACAGCAGGTATTTGGAGGTGTAGCAAGGTGCGAAGGTGGGAAATAGAGATATAAACGAAAACTAGAACAAAGAAACCAGGATAAACCCTATGTAAATGTGTAATATCTATATGTATACATACCCTATCTTTAACTGCGTCCTATGCCGTTAGACTCTTAAATCTATCTAGTATAAAATACAAACTAAACAAAGTATTTACACGTATTTTAAAGCTACGTCCTTTGTTTTCCATACTATATATACACGAATATACCTACATGCATATACATATATGTGTACTTAAAGGAAACTTAGAAAAAAAAACATAAAATGTTAATCCCATTCAAGCGGAACAAGTTTGTCGCTTCACTTTAGTTGCAAGCCAAATTCTGCTTTTATTTTTTCGATACCACTCGTACGTGTGAAATGCATTTACATACATAGTTTTCCTTTCAGTTTCTTTCGGGGGCCAAAAAACCAAACCAAACATAGTAACATTAACAAGCGATTGTAACGTTAAACGGAACGAGTGTTATGTAAAAACATAAACAAATGTTAAAGTACAAGTGCAGAACCTTGAATGGTGCGCAGAGAGTTTAGCACGTAACGTCAGATGCAGATACAGATTGTTTTACCTAGTCTAATAACTGAGATATAGCGCATTGTTAAAGTTTATCGATAATGTGCGAGAGGAATGAAAATAATTATATATATATACAGAACCATATATGGAGTACATACATGTGTAATTATTAATCAAAAAACCACAAGAAGAGCTGTTGACGAAAACTGTGGCATAACCATTATATATACATACACCGAATATTCAACTATATATGCATAAATGTATGATACGTATATATACATATATATATACATACCATAAAAATAAACGCAAGGAGTATCTTATGTGGCCGTTAAGTTGATCTTTGATGTTGTAGATACAAAACAGTAGCACCCAATAGATGCACCATACCACCCAAAACTATTAAGAAAATGTGTGAATGCTAGATGCTCAACGCATCGAAAACCGATTTATGATTGCATATTTATTAACTTTCCATAGCGCTCAATATGCTTTTGTCCTTTGGTGCGATTTTGTCATTTCCATGTAATTGAACAGAAAGAGAATTTAATTTTGTAAATAAAAGTTAAGAAAAAACGGAATTAAAGTGATTGATTTTTTGGGGGAATCAACTCTATAAACTTCAATGGTCTTACTCCTCTTGAAATTTTTAATAGCTCTACTGAAAGCGGGATTTCAAGTCTTAAAAACATTTTTATTCTTTTGAGATAATAATTCGTTTTTTCGCCTTCTTATCCTTGACTTCACTACGGTAATTTTGTTAAGTGTAGTGATAAAAGCTTCAAAGCTCTGTTCATGCTTTCTACTTAGTTTCGTTTGTGAACAGGAAACTCTACAAAAAGTAAGTTCAAGCTTTTGAGAACCTTTATTTGGAAAAAACTTCAAGCTTTCCTGGAAAAGCTTATTTCCACAAAGGAGATACTTTCGAGCTTTGTCCCATTGGTCTCTGTTGGGGAATTAAATGACCACACTTTATACATGTTTCCTTAATATTATGAACATCAATTAATTATGGAACACTATTCTAGCTATGTCCCCGACACGCTTTCAAAATATAATTAATGAAAGCCAATTAATATGCCAGAATGAGCATGTGATAGCTGCAGAATGTGGGGTAAAGGGATTACTGTCCTGCTGAGCTCCAATTTATAGAAAAACATATTGAATATGACGCAATATTTGGGAAATATATTTCAGCTATTTTCCTTCTTATCAATTTAATTGCGGGTGATTTATAGTTTTCTCACATAACATATATTCTAATAATGGCCAGTCCGAATTTGCACTCTTGTGTGTGAAAAAGGGCAACAGTTTTAATTGTTGACTCAACTAATTGCGCGATATCCGCCTAGAAGACGGGTCCTTGGCGGGTGTGTCCTGCCAGCTCTTTGTTTCTCCGTTTGTTTGTGGCCGGAAATATTTATTAACTAGAAATTGCATAGCACAAAGGCAACAAGCAGGCCGCAGGAAGGAAGGAAATGGGCAAACATGTGACGCACCCCCAGGAGCAAATACATACGCATACACCCCACACAGACACACACACACATAGCGAGTGACTCCATGGCGTATACGGAACGCAACGTGTCGGCTACGTGTTGTTTTTAGGCCTTCATAAATCATCTGGCTGCGGGCATATGATAAATTGTCATACTAATTGTTTTTAGCGTCCAAGACAGGCCGCGTAGAAACGTGGCCACAGGAAAAGGCAAGTCCGAGTTGTTCCATTTACTGTTGTTCTTTAAAATATTTTTGCCCATTTACTTGCCATGTCAAATATATCGCATAACATTTGCCAATTCAATATTGCAATTCGGCAAATGGAGTCTCGAAAATCCCCTTCATTTGAACTTGGACCCCCATAAATGTAAGGGCTCTTTGGAATCATCAATCATAATTAGCCGGCGATATCATGGGCCCATCGATGGTTACGATGACCAAGGGCGATTGTCCCAAAAAAATGTAACTGGGAAGCTATTTGGTTACATGCCCGGTCAATATGCAAAAATGTTACGTTTTTACATGGTAACAAGTTTTTGATTTATGACACATTAATAGTGACAGCTTGCCCGCTTTTGGGTCAGTTGGGCGTTGTCGTTGGAGTCGTCTTCCCCCGCCAGCAAAACAACAGCTTCCCCGGGAGCAACAGGTTTTGGCAGCTGCCATCCGTTGGTCGTTTCAGTGTTTCTGTTACTCTCTTTGACCACTTTCTTTTGGAGCTGAGCTGTTTGCGGGGCTTTTGCTCCGGAGAGACCCAAGTTGGACATGTCTGCGGGACAAAGTGTTTGACACTTTAATGAACTGCCCGGGGTCGCGTGTGTGAGCAGTTCATTAATATTAATGCCCCGGGTGCTCTGTTTTCTTTTGCTTTCTTACAAACGACCGTCGAGCGGCTTTCTTGCGCCATGCGAAACTCGTAGACCAATTCGCTTTGGGCCAGACACAAATGTCAATTGCCGGCCATTAGCTAATATTTCGTAATTGCTCTTTAATTGAGCACCCTGTCTTCGATAGTTCTGTAATGCATATAGACCCTAATTGTGCGTAATAACGGTTTGCTGACCTTTGCCCACTGAGATACACAGTGATTTGTTTCTTTTAATGCTGTCATGATTTGTGTTTTTGGCGCCCCACATAATGGCCCTGATTATCTGACGGTAATTGTTGTTGCCGCCCCTGGGGAGTGGGTGGTTAAACCGCCCCCGAGATTGCTGTTGATGTCATGATTTATTGCCTTGTTCCCGCGGCACACGTGCCCTAAAAAATTTTAATTAACAAAAGCAATAGACCGACCACCAATCCCCACCGCCGTCTTTGACTAGCCAATCACTGCGATTGGTCCTATAAATAAATCTTATCATCCTACGACTTTTGACGTTGCCAAATTGTTACTGTCATTGTTTGGCCTAAGTTCTGTTTATCTTCTGTGCAAAGATAAACAGTAAACAAGGGGACCATCACCAGAACAACGAACTACGAACAACAGGAATCCCGGCAACTGAACCGAACTGATACCTTCTGTGGCCCCAGGACAGTTTATTTACTTACGGACACGCAGCTTTTTGCGGGTGTCATTGTCAATAGGCTGATAGGTTTTGCTGCCCATCTTCTACTTAGAAAACTTGGTCCTGGAGTAGCACCTTTTGTAACAGCCCCAAACTCCTGCCTGGCAACAAATTAAATGAATTCGTCGGTGCCAATGGGCAAAATGATTAAATTAGGAGAGCGTTTTGCTCTCGAGTTCCCCTTGAGGCCGTTTTCAGGATTTCATTTGGCCTTTAACAAATTATGCATATTTATAAATGTAAATGCCGGCCACTGGCCATTTTGGAATGGAGTTGCCCACGTCCACGTCAACAGCTGAGGATGAGGATGCGGATGTGGATGATGAGCAGCCGTCGGCAGCTGTAGTCATCCCTGATGTATGACTCCTCATTATGCGCATAAATGGGTATTGTTTGGGCCTGGCCGAGAAGCCTGTTGCTCCTGGCCATTCCTCGTCGACGGCCGGATCAGCCTGTCTGATGGAATGTTCTGGTGATTTAGGCCTATAAATCTGAACCACACAATGCCGAGCACTGAGAGAAATATGCCCTGCTTACTCCTTTACCTCACAGATAAGAAACTCATAACAAGAACTCATTAATTTTAGGGGATATCTGATTTGTTTTTAAATACTTTGCGACTCAAGCACCCAAAATGAAAGGTATTTAGCCCAACGCCGTTTAAGCAATTTTCGTAAAGGATTTGGCAATCACTAACTAGAATAAATATTATAATTAATATTTAAACAGATCAATTTAACATATTTTGTCACATAACCTTAATTATTTTCGGTGTGTATCTTAACTAGTTTATGATGAATTCAATTGGTAGGTCGGCTGTTCCTCGGGCCGCCTTATCAATTAGAGCACATCGTCAGCATTGTACGCACACACATAAACACTCTCGAGATTTATGTGAAACAATCAGAACAATTAACTGGGCCAGAAATGCTCACTAGCAGGAAGTGAGCCGTTTCGCATGTGTGTATCTCTGTGTGTGTCTATTTATTGTTAAATATTGTTTATGCAATGTCTGTGTCTTGCTGTGTGCCATTTATACCTAATTGAAGGCATTTATTGTTTGGACAGAGCCAGGAAACTCATTGCCCGGGTAAGCAGAGGCAATGTGTGAAGATTACGGACGGACATTTCTTGAACAGTTTGGGGAATATTCCATTATTGAGCTTGACTCTACGGCTTAGTCCACGAAAACACTCCACTATGTAGCCACTGACACAGCCACTGGTGCTGTCGATAATCAAGCGATGACTGAACATATTGATGGACTCGACTAGATGATTGGGTTAAAAGCGAGCTGTGAACCGGGTTCATAACCTGCCGCAAAATATGCAAATCGCAATCTCTCGGCTAATTAATTAATTATGCATATTTTGCACACTTTTTGTGGCAAAAAGCGGCTTTGATGTTCGTCCGCCCAAACACAAGTAGTTCCGCAGATTTATGTAAGACAAGCAACGCCCTAAGGTTGCATGGTTTAAAAAAACAGGTTCATTGAGTGCCGTATCCGAGTATCGTAGCCCGCAATCCGTAACTTGAGACAGGGTTTTGTGTCAACGCTTAAAAGCTCATTTATCTCTGATTAACTGTTGGCAATGTGCGGAGCTAGAGAGTTGCAGCAACCGAAGATGAAACGGAAACCGATGCGATCCCGATCCCGATAGTCAACTCAAGTCAAAAAACGCTGGCATATTGCAAGCCCATCATTTGTCATATTTCCAATTTCCCATTTGGCCAGTTTGTATAAATATCATTGAAATGCAAACGCCAAACGTCAGTTAGCAAGCTTGAAGAGTGGTAAACAGATCCTCAGCACTAGCCATCAAATACTTTTGCCCAAGATGCGTGGATTCCTGGTAAGAATTTAAAATGAAGTAATACCAAATTTAGTTTCCAGGAAAAATGTAAAATGAAAACTTAAAAAGATTAGTGATATCAAGTATGTGATATAAAATAATAACAATGGATACTGAGATAAATATCGAAATCTCAACAGATTATTTAGCTCAACAATTTTGAAACATTTTTTGATCAATGTTTTACCACTTAATTTACTTTTTAATGATTACTTCCCTTTTTTGATTTAAAAAAAACCTGCTAATCCAATCCGTTTTATTTATTCTCTTCCAGTTACTTTTTGTTATTGCCTCCGTTTCGGCGGCCAAGTTGGGATATAATTACCAAGCTGCTTCCAGTGATCGTCGGTTTTGCTGGACTCATCGATGCGGAGGCCACAGGATTTAGTTCTACACACACACATCAGCAGCAGCAGCAGCAATTGGTCCAACAGGACTCGCAACAACAGATTCCTGCTGCTGCGGATGAGTTCAGCAAGGAGTTCTACACATATTCCGCTCCCGAGGAGGAGTTTGCGGATCGGGAGGCCACCGAACACATTGCCAGCATGCTGAAGCGGAATCTGCGCGTTTTGTTCATCAAGTCACCAGAACACCAGGGCCTTACCAACGCCGCCCTCCAGTTGGCCAAGCAGGCCAGTGAGCAGAAGACGGCTATCTATGTGCTCAGCAAGCAGGCGGATGTGGGTCAGTTGGCTCAGCGTCTGGCTAGTGAGAACCAGGCTCAGAATCACAAGCCTGAGGTGCACTTCGTCAAGTATCGCACTCCCGAGGATGCTGTTCGGGCCCAGCAGCTTATTCAGCAGCAGTTCGACTCCTTGGGCGGCAGCTCCCGCAGTTCCGACGAAGGTGTGGCACCAGTTCTGGACTTTAGCTCAGCACCAGCTCCTATAATTGTTCAAGATCAGAATGATGCTCAAAACCAAGTCCAGGCGGTTACACCGCTCACTAAGTATTTGCCAGCGGCATTACTGCGAAGCAAATAGTTGCAAGTCTATATTATTGAACACTTTAACTTAAGCCCTAATTTTATATGCCTAGAAATACAAAGAAGGATACAAATCAAATTTTTTTAGTGCTTTATATACTTGTTTTATAATGCTCTTAAAACTTACTCGATTTAAAATGTTTGAGCTAAGAAAGAAACTTGTATATGTTTTTAAAAAGTTTCTTTAAATTCCTAACTGCGGTTATGAAAGTCAGAAGCTGAAGTTAAATTCTTACAACTTTACTATTTTATGAAGTTTGCTATAAGGCATTAATTTTATTTTTTCTCTTTTGCTATTTTTTTTTTGCAATTGCATGTTTGAGATAAAAGCTCAAATCACTAGAGATTGTCAGTTCGTGATGTTTAATAATACGACTTAACGAGTTGAATTAATCGGAGTTATGATCCACTAAAGTTTGTCCTTTTCGCGTTGATAAATTGAGAAAGAAAAAGAAACTGAAATGTCATTGGCAGAAACTTTAAAGGCGATTATCGTGCAAATACAATATGCAGCAAGGGGCAGAAACCAGCTGTTTCCCCCGAAGCCACTTCCTGGCCACTCAAGAGCACCATCCACCCCGCACCGAGCATTATGGCCTGAGGCCAGAGGGATCCTGTCATGTGCCTTACTTTTCCATGCCCTCCTTTCCTTTGGCGAGGACGACAACGAGACTCTGATTTCTATCTCGCATGTTTCTGTCATATTTCATATTTTAAGTGCCCTCGGGCAGATGGCAACCAGGCCCCACACTCATGAATAATTTAATAATATAATAATCATTTTGAGTATTGAAAACAATTTACAGTTTCCCATGTTAATGGGCCCCAGGGTCAAGGATTGATAAAAAAAAATATAAAATATGTGTTGTCGTTAAGGCTAATTAGGGGGAAGTCTAGCGAAAACTGGCAGGTGAAATAGGTAGAATATTTAAGGAAAATACAGAGGGATAAACTTGAATTTTAAATGCTCGTCTATTTATAGCCAAGAAATTTTCCTATTCCCTGGGCTTCCTTTTAAGCCACACAACACGGAGGCAGGGCTCTCATCCTTACACATTCTCGGGTTTCCTCCTCCGTTTATTTAGACGGATTCAATAACAATTGCCGTGGGTCTGGCATTAGCTATGTATGCGGTGGCGTAATTTCCAAGAAACGCGATATAAAAGCACACAAAAAGGAGCGGAGTGCTCGTAGAAATAAAATGTACGGGATATAAAATGAAGTGCCGACAAAATGTCTGCCATTTGGCCTGGTGGAGTGCTGGCCACTGACTATATTGTCTATATCAGATTAAAGCGTAATTCTTATTCAATTAATACAAATGACTGGAGCAGGAGGATGGTCAGCAGCTCAACGGCCATAACTTGCTACAAAAAAAGCAAGGGAATGGGAAAATTGAGAAGACCATTTTTGTTTCAGCTTGCTTTTGCAATTTAATTAAACAAACAGTTGGCGCTGCGGTTTAGACCAGCAATATTGGCCATGGGGAAATGTAATTTGCAGGGGACGACAGCAACTACAATCGAATGCTGCAAAAATTGCCAAGTGCCGACGTGTTGCCGACAGCTCTCTAATCCTTTGTGAAAAATTGTTATCGTTTTGGGGCGGCGCTCTAAATTTAATTGTTCTTCAGGGTTGAGGTTGCCTTTGCGCCTGGCGGTGTTGCATATCGATTATTTTTAATTGCTCTTTGACATATCCCTAGTCCGCCCTTGGGGACATCTACACAAGTAATTAGTTTGCCATGTGGTTATGGGGCTTTAAATACCTCCCCCATGGGTGGAAAAATCAATTCGAAAAGTGGCATTTAAGCCGAATTAAAGCCAACAAAGGACGCCAACTGGCAACGGGCAACCGTGCGTGCCGAGCAGTTGGCGTGTCCTTACTCCTTCGACTGTCAGTCGCTGCTTATGTCGTTAATGTGGCAAAAGCCGAAAGCCCTGGCAATGCAAAAGCGAAAAAAAGTGCGAAATGGAAACCGAATTGAAACGAAAGGGAAAAGCGACAGAAAACCAGAAATCGGCAGGTCGCCACATCATTCATTTCGGCCAGCGGAAAAGTAATGAAAAACTCCCATAAAACTTCAAGTGCTCGTAAAGCGCCAATAAGTTGCGGGTAAGGTAAAAATAGTGTTGCCTACTTTCTGGCCGCGTGAATGATTTGATGACGCGGCATACGTGAAGTCTTCCAGATGGCACAGTGTGTTTGTCTGTATTGGCCCTTGTGTGTGCCACATCGCAGCCAATTAATCCGGCTGAAAGGAAAGACATGACGAAGGCGTTCAAAAGAAGCGTGGCCAAAAGCCACAGCTGAGCTCCAATGCCAGTATTTGGAAAGGACAAGACGAGGAATCGAAAACATTGAACACTGAAAGAAAACATGAAGTAACTATTAATTATCAAAAAGAAAATTCGAATGAAATATCATAGTTATTTAGTTTTAAAAAGATGTTATTAAAATGATTTACTTATTTGTACATATTAAGAATTCATTTTTGTGACTGCCAACTTCCGTATTTTCCTGTTTCGTGTGTAAACATTGTGCGACGAGGCAATGGCCTAGAAAGGTTGCCTTTCTGTTGGTCAGGTATCCTGGCAGGAACAGGAGCATGCTGTGCCTATCATTATCCCTTTTGTTTTTGGGCGAGCAAATTGCTAGTGAAGGGGAAAGCTTTCCATTTCTATGTCCGGACATTTGCTACCTGATTGCCTACATGACAGTCAGCCTGGAGACAATTAGCTTTTCCCGGGAATCGGTTCGTTAATGCCTTAATTCGAAAACACAGGAATACCTCATGAAACATTTAGCAGTGAGCTGGCAATCGGGGATCACAATCGCCATTGAATTATCGACAACAATAGACACAGATTGACCGGCAAGTCAATCATAAATCGCGCCTCACTGTGGTGTGGATTTTCGTGAGCGAGGAAGTGTATGTATGGGTGTGCAGCATGGCCTAATTTGCTTGCCAACCAACCACTTGACTGCCGGCAATCGACAAGTCCCGAATCTCAATTGAACCGCAATTTCCAAATCGCACCCTTATACGTTCGTAATATACGTAATAAAAGGAGGGGACTGAGCTGGAATGAGTCTTGGCTTGGGTTTCTTAGACAGTTCCTAGCCCACAAGCCACAATGCAAATGGGTGTGTCTGGTAAGGGGGGTTGTGGGTGCTTAAAAGGGGAGTGACTCTGCCCGCCTCCCCGAAGGCCGTACTCAGCCGCAGACAGCGCCCAACCGAAAGGCAGCACAAAACGGAAATGAAACTTATTAAAAGATTTGGATCTAATCGATTTTCGTCCTTTCACGCCGAAATGAACTTTGCCGTCGCTCGGCTCGCTTTTCGCTTTTAGTTCTTAGCTTTCAGCCATTAAAGTGGGGCGGCTGCCTTTCACCCCTTAAAACTATTCTACAATTCTACATCGCCATCCCCTGCAGCGTTGACCAGCCATAAATTTAATTGAAAACCAAACTGTTCGGACTGTCCTGTCTGTGACACACTATATATACTCCTACATATACACACATATATGTGCAACTGCTGGCGCACATGTGCATCTGTGTTTATTCAGGCACTCGTGTGCTAGTGACTTTTACTAAATTTGATTTGGCAGTCCTGCTCAAATTTAACTGCAGCTCTGTGGAAAGGACGTGCCAGTAGCAGAGCGGAGCAGAGCTAGCACCTCGGCACACGCGAGACAAATGCGATTTAAAGTAATTTGAATACCGAATGGATTGTGTGCACTTATCGACACACATTCACATTCGCATTCGTTTTGCGAGGCACTTCTAATATCGACATTTGCACACACAGGGGAAAAATATGACTTATTCATAGGTGGTGTATAAATGATGTTGAATATTAATAAAAAAGCATACTTTGATTAACGAAAACCAAAAATGGGCAACGGGCAATGGGGATTAGATTGGTGATCAAATTTATACAATATTGAAAAAATAAAAAGTTTCCCAATTGTCATCGTATAACCTAAGACGTATTTTTTCGGTGTATTATTCTATGATTTATAGAACATTTTTTAAGTTTTTTTAAGTTTTTTAAGTTTAGTACTTAACTTTTTTGCTCTCTGCACAGCCGCCACCTCTAGGAAATGCAAGTTTGGCCAACTGGCAGGGTTAAACATCCATGGCAAGCCAAGCGGAGAGCATCAATTGTCTATCTGACCATGGCGAACTGTGGGCCAAATGGTTGGGGCATTTAAGGCCAAACTCGACAGGATCCCCTCCCCTCCATTCCAATTCCATTCTGCCAAGCTGCAGCATCGATGTAACGCTGCGTTATTGAAATCGCCCAAGCAGCAAAAGTGTTTGAGTGCACTCAAGCGAGCACCTGCCCTCACATTCACATTCACATTCGCATCGCATTCACATTCGCATTTACACCCACACAAGCGAAAAGCACGTGCGAGCGTAACTCAACCGTTAGGCAGTTATAACCGTGGCAGTTAGCGGCAATTGCATTTTTATTTGCATTAGCATACCTATCCGGGCAGTTAATTAACACGCGCACAGCCGCAAAAAAGTCAACGCATTTGCATTTAACAAAACAACGGATAAAAGCTTGGTAAAAATCAAGAGCCGGCCATTGAATGCTAAATTAAGTGCCAATCAGGCTGGAAACATTTCGTGCTCTCCCCTCGTGTTGTATTAATTTTTAACAGATTTTTATTGACTTGTTGCTGCAATCAGTCTGAGAACAATTGTATTTCCAAAAAGGCGTTGAATTGTAAATCGATCAGAGTCTGATCGAAGCGAATGAAAGGTATTGTCACAACATTGTATTTGCATTTTAAAGACTACAAGTAAAATTTTACCTTAATAAAATCAGTCGCTTGAATAATCCACTTAGCAACTCCTTTCACACTGCCGCAAGCATCGCAATTAAGAAGCATTACGTATACGCCCCCTGTGACAGTAGTGTGATTGAATCGATTCATGCATTCAATGTCTAACCATCCGGCTGCCTATTATAGATAGTGTGAGGCGTTGGAGCTGACAATTTGCATATATATGTATATATATATATGTGGGTAAATGTCATTGGTGTGTCGCGTTAAGA